AGTGAAGAAGAACCGTACCAAAAGCTTACATTTATAAGAAAGATTTTCAATACTATGAGCAAGCCTATAATGTAATTTTCTTTCTTTTGTGAATACTACTGCTTCACTATGATTCTTTGACAAATGGATCAAAAAATATTCTTTCAATAGTAGAAATTAAATAAAAACACACGTTGGCATATTTCTTTAAGTGCACGTCTATTGACACAAGTTGCAATTTTTTTTTGAATCATACCAGTTCGATATAGGTTAAATGTGAGTTAGTAATAAGAAGCATATAATTATATTTCATCTGAAAGACTTGCCTATTCTTCAGAGATGAGTAGGTAAGTCAGTTTTTTTTTTGCTGATATGAATCAAGTGAAATGTCCGACTTGAACTATTTTTACAGGTTTCATAATTTATGTATCAATTTACTGGAAATAGATCCCTAATTACATTTTAACATGATTAATGTTTGTTATGTCTTTTGTGATATGTTATCGAAATAGAAAATATTCTTTCTACAAGTAATGTTTGGTCTTCATTAATGTTCTACGTGATTGTGATTGAAACAAAAATTTCATGATTAACGATTGTAATATATACATTCAAAGTTTCAAATATTTATTTAAGAATATAATGTTCACACTTAAATCAGAAACAAAAAATCTAAAAATTCATATTTATTCTCAACAAAAAAACAAAGAAAATACGCTAGTTAATTAAATACTATTTCAAAAAAAAACAAAACTGAGAAAAAAAAATGAAGAAATTATATCATTAAATAATTTGTTCATCATCATCATCTTCACTTTCAATATTTACTAAATATTGATTATCATTTTGATTATTGTTTATGAGATCGTGTATGGTTTTAATTTTTTCTATGTTGATTGACTATTTGAAATGATTTTCGTTTAACATCTTGATTAGTATTTGTTTTACTACAACTGATACGAGATTTTTTTCTTCAACTTTTTCGCATCTAATCTTATTCGTTTATTGGTAATTGTATTTTTACAAGACGAAAACACACTTTGATTGTATTCAATGAAAGATATCAGACAATATCGCAGCATCGAATGATTACAAAAAAAATTTTCTTGTCTCTAAATACTATGTAACATTCATGATCGTGATTGACAACTTTGTTTTGTTCGTGGTTATGATCAAAAATATCAGTCATCCAGGACACTAGTCTTCATAAGTTTCTTTGTGAACAGGTAATATTAAAAATAATCTTTGTGATGTTATTAAGTGACATCTACCAATAAAGCCATATTGTTTTAGTCATACACTTTCCTCCTAGCTACCAATTGACTAGTTGATCCAATCGTTTCTCTCATTCATTCTTTTCTTTTATCCTGTAGTACACCGTAAACGTGGATGCGTGTTTTACTGCAAGGTGAACAGTTGTTGTTTATTTTTTTCTTTTTTTTCTTTCTTCTTATTCTTCTTCGTTTTCATCTCAAGAAATTTGATCTCAAACTCGATAGACATTGATCATATACGTTGGTTATAGATTTTTACATAAGAATATTCAATTTTTTTTTCTCTCGTTATTTGATTTTATTTTTATGATGAGATAACAAAAAAATTTTGCATATGGCAGGTAATGAAAATAACAATACATTCAAAATAAATATTAAAAACAATATATATATATATATATACGTATGTAGGTGATTGGAGAATCAGTGCCGAAGAACGAAAACAGTACGATTTGTACTTTCAACAATGTAACCCAATACAAGGTTATGTATCGGGTATAATTTAAAGAATATTTCAAATAAAATTTTCTAAATAAAGTTTATTATTATTTTGTTTTTCATAAAGGTGATCAAGCACGAAATTTTTTTCTTAAATCAAGTTTATCTGCTGATATTCTTCGTAAAATATGGTAAATTCATTTATGCAAAAAAAAAATATATATATATATTCATACATCATTTTTTTTCTCTCAAGGAATCTTTCGGATATAACAGCCGATGGTCGTTTAGATAAGCGAGAATTTACGATTGCTTGTCATCTGATTTCTTCTCAAGTAAACAGAACAAAAAGAAACAAAAAAAAAGAATTTTTTTTTGTTCTTTCTATTTACTGTGTTTAATCTTTATTATTATTTAAGGTTCAGAAAAAAGTACCACTACCGGATAAACTTCCACCAACTCTTCTCTCCGATGCAATTTTAATAACAGCAAATGGTGCACCACCACCATCATCCATGTCTACATTATCATTATCAATAGTTCGTAAGTTGTGCGATTTTAATCTCTTAGATATCTTTTGAAAAAAAACAAAGTTTTACAATTAAATCTTTCATATTAAAGGACCAGTTCAAAGTTGGAGTGGTAAGATTGATATGTATTGTGTATTATTGATTAGAATAATGCTTTTGTTAACATATTGCTTATATGATAATCAATTATTAATTGTTTTTTTGTTTTTTTTTTAGCACCTGGTCAATCATTAGTTTCTGCGTACGTAGAAAATAAAATAATTGATTGAATTTTATTTCTGAATTTTTGTTTGTTTTTAGTCAACCTTTAATACCAGTTCTTATTCCACCAGCACCATTAACACCAGCAGTACGTTCAAAATATCTTCAACAATTTCATTCATTAGTTGATGTAACAAAAACAAATGGATTTATGAGTGGTTTACAAGCAAGAAATATTCTTCAACAAACTGGTTTATCACAAACAGTACTTCATCAAATATGGTAAATTATATTATTTAAATAATGAAATTTTTGAGTTTAGTTTTTCGATTAAATAAAAAATATATATGTTTCAATGATTATAAACATAGTCAAATGTAAAAAGGACATTATTGTTTGAAAATATGAATAATCTAAGATTTTTCGAGAATATTCAAGATCATTTAATGTATACTTAATAAGTATTATAAAACTTGTTGACGATAACATATCGATCAATCATCTTTTTTTTTATGACTGAACAAAAGAAAAAACAAAGTCATTATGACAACATTTTTGATTTTATAGACATAGGATTTATGAATGACAGATAAGTATAAAAACAAAATTGACTGATAGATATGTTTATTTCATGACTAGTCAAAGTAAATAAACAATTATATTGATTAGAGTAAATAGTCGAATAAAAATATAATATACAAGATAACTCGAATAAATATTATTTATTGATATGTTATAAGATAACAACATGTTTTATATACGATACTAAGAAAAAAATTACTTAGATCCTTTAATTAATTATCAAAGTAACGTTTGAATATTGAGTTTGAAATGCTATTTTCACTAGAAACTAATGATTAGAAGTGAAAATCCATGGATCTTAATAGACAAGAAAGAACATAGAATTGATCGGTAAAATCGAAATTATTATTATTAAAAAAATTTTCATTACTAATATTTCTTCTCCTTCAAGTCATTTCAAGGAAGATATTGGCATTGACATTTGCTAATGTTTGCCTCTTATCCGCATTCTTTTTTTTCCTTTTGAAATAAAACCTTTTATTGGTTTATTGATATTTTCGTTATCTATATATTTCTCTTCTTCTAATACTGAGATTACACATCGTAAGGTGATTTACCGCAGGTAGAGCCTATTGGGTTTGGGTCTAAAAATTTTGAGTCAACCGGATTCAGAAATTTTTGGACTTGATGAACTCTAACTGTAGAATAATTTATACTATTGATATAATGTAACCACATATCCAATGTATATATTTTTTTGATTAAATAATTCAACAAATAAAATTTGAAAAATAGAGTTTAAAGATATTTTTAATGGTGATATATGTTAGTTTTTAACATCGAACTGTGGAGTTATATTTTTGTTTATAGAAAAGAATTAGATTATTGAAATTATTTCATATGTAAATGTTTCTATTATATAAGCAGATGTTACAATTTATTTTCATTATTATTCGTGACTTGTGTCAAGAAGTTTGATACATTAATAGATGTTCTAAGAAGACGGCAGATATCTAGTTTCTTGTAATCAAATGTAGTTTTATCTGATCTAAAATGGATAATTTTCATCAGATTCTATTTTGAAAATATGCAAGTTTGTTAGTTTAAGAAATTTATAAATTTTTATTTTACATGTTGGAAAGATTTTTAATTCGTGTTCTTGCTAATCATTAGTTTTTTACTAAATAGATTCTTTATTTTTTACTTATATTGTAATGTATGCTGCACTAATAACTTCTTCTATGTGGATAACGGAAAATAATTTTCCAAAGTATTTTTATTAACAAGCGAATCAATATTTATACCTTACATATCATCTATAAATTACGTTAAAGAAAGAAGAAGACGAACATCCGTGTCGTTTGGCTACCTTACTGTAGATTCAATAGCTTGATGTCTTCCCTAGCTGTAGCTCTGAACATAGGATCGGTCTAACGCAAAAGTTCTTGTGTTATACAAACTAACTAACCACAAGAACACATGTATGTTACAATATAATCAGCATGCTATAAGACGAGTGATTCGAGACAAGTAGCCGTTAGTGACTTGTTTAGAATCATTCCATAACTGATAATATCTTATGGATAGATGTCGAATAATGTAACTATTCAGTCATGATAGCTGAGAAACTAAATTTCAATTAAAATCGATTATAATTTAATATAAGTATATAGGATTAGTTCTTTCTTCTACTTAATCCATCAATAAAAAGTATAAACATTAACATCTGGAATAGAGAGTTGCGGATCTAGGTCTAAAAATTTTGAATCGACCGAGTCCGGACCCGATAGGCTCTAGTCTGGAAGGACCTACAATTCTTTAATCTAGAAGATTCATTTTCTTTATTTGTAATTCAAGGAATGAATTCAATGATTGAAATAGAAACTACTCTTCTGAAGTAATGACTAGACAAATCATTGAATCACTACTCACTTATTCATGTAGTATAACACTGAGATCGTATTGAATTGGGTTTTGTTTTCAATCTCTGATATGACAATCAATAATGAAGATATCTGTTTCTACTCACTTCTTTCATTTAAGAAATTCTTCAAATAATTTATATATTCTATTCAACAGATTCTTCTCAAAAATTTAAAAATCCTCCTCTGATTTATATTTCAATGAAAAATTATTCTTTTCAGGGCTTTAGCTGATCATGATAAAGATGGTCGTTTAACATCTGATGAATTTGTTATTGCAATGCATTGTTGTGATGTTGTACGTGCCGGACAAATATTACCAACTCGTTTACCTGATGAATGGTTAAATACAACTATAGTACAACGTGAACGTATAGGTTCATTAGGAACATCCAATGTTTCTTCAGCATTTGCTAATATTAATCAAGAACTTAAAGATGCTTTTAAATTTCCGACTACAACCGAAAATCATGCTCCTGAAACAATAGAACCTGAACGAAGAAATAGTCTTGTATCTTATGAAGAAAAACGTCAAAAGAATTATGAAGTTTGTATTTATTAATTTGTAGATTTTAATAAACAAAAAATATATTTTTTTTTTCTTTTAGGATGGATTTAAAGAATTAGAACGACGTCGACAATTATTACGTGAACAAGAAGAACGTGATCAAAGAGAACGTGAAGAACGAGGTAAACAAATATTTTTTTTCTCTCTCTCTCTCTCTTCTATTTAATAATAAGAAAATTATTTTTTTTTTATAGAACGTAAACGTGAATTCGAATTACAAAAACAAAAAGACGAACAAGAACGTCGAAAACAAATGGAATTTGAACGACAATTAGAAAGACAAAGACAAATTGAACATCAAAAAGAAGAAGAACGAAGAAAATTATTTGAACAACGTGAGGTAAAAATTTAAGATCACGTCTTAATATTTTAATAAGACGAGTTTGAGTCATATTCATACAAAAACAAAAAACGATATTCATTTTGTTCTGAGTTATGCATGAGCAATTTTATATTTTAAAATATACAAATTTTTGTGTTCAGACATAATTCATATTTTTTTTAGGCTGCACGAAAAGATATGGAACGTAAGAGTCGTTTAGAATGGGAACGTCAACGTATGCAAGAATTATCAACACAAAAATCTCGTTTACTTGAACAAACTAATAATTTAAAATCTCGTGAAAAAGCACTTGAACTTGAATTACAAAGTATGGATGATACAATACAAACAAATCAAAAAAAAGTTCATCAAACAAATACAAATATACAAATAATTGATCAAAAAATAAATGATATGCAAAAACATACAATACAAGAAAAACATCTTTTAGAAAATTTTGAACAACAACGAAAAGATTTATATATTAAATTAAATTATTTACAAACAGAAAGAGAATCAATTAATTCATCATTAAAAAATCTTAATCAATCGAAAGAATTCAGTAAGAGAATTTTATCAAATGTATTATCAAGTTCTATTGCATACCATTGATGGCGTCAACTTTGCTGCGGCTACTGCAGAGTACATCGAAGGTGGCGCCATTAATGGCACGTAATACAACTTGATAATACATGCATCATTGGATAGAAGAAGACTTCCTTTTTGGGAGCTGCGGATCCAAACCCAAAGTTTTTTTTTCTGTCAATGCTTGGCACCCTTCGTGTACATGAATAAGTAAAGGATCAAGATTTTAACTATTTATTCGCGACTTTCAAAGAAAAAATTCAACGTATAGTTATATCTTGTTGCTGGATTTCTCATCTGGGAACCAGTGAATCCACAAAAATGTGTAACCGAGTTCGATAAAAAATAGAATTATGTACCCGCAATTCCCTAATTGCTTTACAAGTCTAGATATATCTTGCTGTGTAGTCAAAAAATGACTTTGAAATTTATAGTCGTTTTTAAGCTTATGAATTGAACTTATTCTCGTGTACATGAGTTGCTTTTATTTTCAATGATGGACTATTTTAGCGAGTTTTCAACAAAATATCATGTAGGATGAAGGTTTGAAAGTTTTTCTCACAAGTGAATATATTCCTTTGTCGGACGTTCTGAGTAGCTGCCTAATTCGACTTATAATATAAATGCAGAAATATAACCACACTATTCATAGGAATAGATTTAGTTCTAGTCATGGTTATAGAGATATACATAGATACCCATGTTATTCATAGGAATAGTTTTAGTTTTAGTCATAGTTATAGAGATATATATAGATACCCATGCTATTCATAGGAATAGATTTAGTTTTAGTCACAGTTATATAGATATATATAGATACCCATGTTATTCATAGGAATAGTTTTAGTCTTAGTCATAGTTATAGAGATATATATAGATACCCATGTTATTCATAGGAATAGATTTAGTTTTAGTCACAGTTATATAGATATACATAGATACCCATGTTATTCATAGGAATAGTTTTAGTTTTAGTCATAGTTATGGAGATATATAGATATACACAGATACCCATGTTATTTATAGGAATAGATTTAGTTCTAGTCATAGTTATATAGTTATCATAGATACCCATGTTATTCATAGGGATAGTTTTAGTTTTAGTCATAGTTATAGAGATATATAGATATACATAGATAACCATGTTATTAGTTATACAGATATACATAGATACAAGAATATACTCAGAAAACATTTGTATATTCAAACCTTCATGCTGCAGCCATTTAATTACCTCAACATCCCGACGATATACATTAAATTAATTATGGTTATTATAACTTCTTCTAAAAGTCACTCTTGTCAATAGGCCATAATATGATGCTAAAATTCAAGTTAATTGATGCTCTTCTTTTTCTCGACCTTCTTCACAAGACATATAAACAGAAAACCAGATTCTCCTGAGCAAAAAAAACGGGCATTATTTCTCCCTTTTACGAAAATGGCAGGTTTATTTATACCTCCACATCTAAACTAAAATCTAAATCTATTCCTATGAATAACATGGGTATCTATGTATATCTATATAACTATAACTAAAACTAAACCTACTCCTATGAATAACATGAGTATCTATGTATATCTATATAACTAGAACTAGAACTAAATCTATTCCTACGAATAACATGAGTATCTATGTATATCTATATAACTAGAACTAAAACTAAATCTATTCCTACGAATAATATGGGTATCTATGTATATCTATTTAACTAGAACTAAAACTAAATCTATTCCTACGAATAACATGGATATCTATGTATATCTATATAACTATATAACTAGAACTAAAACTAAATCTATTCCTACGAATAACATGGGTATTTATATATCTATATAACTAGAACTAAATCTATTCCGATATATATCTATTTATTTTATAAGTCATATATGACTGTTGAGGGATGCATTTATATTATAATTCGAATTAGGCAACTCATGGACGTTCTTGAACTTCATATTATGACTACGAGTTGGTCTCGGCAAGACTAAGACAAGCTTAAAAGGATTCGGGTCTGATACAGAGTTACGGTCATTCAAATGAAACATGATTATAAAGTTTTGACCAAATAATGAGACATATGTAAGTTTGTAAGGGACAACTTCCTCTAGTAGATGATATAGATATTATCAAATTCTATTGTGTACTGTAAAGATGTGGATAGGTGGCATCACTCTCACCATAGCTATGGCAAAACACTGCGAAAGTGGCGCCATCTATTGACATATATCACTGTGGGACCTATAAATGCCTCACTTCTGAAAACTCCAAAACCAAGAGTTGCGACCTGAAATTTTGACTATAGACACATTTCATAGTCATTAGATGGTCCGAAAAGTTTCAACGAAGACTAACATGTCTTTCTCGAGGTATTCAATACAAAACTCATTCTAATGAATCTATTCTTCTTAATAAACTATTCAATAATTAACAACTCTGTACTCTTTTTTTTTTTTTGTATCTCAATCGATAAGTTTTCTCTACAGAAAAATCTTTTCTCTATATATTTAGGTATGGCTAATCGAGAATCTGATCAAATGAAATTTTTACAACTTCAACTCGACAATGTCAAACAAGAGAGTATACATGTTGATGAACAAATTACAACTATGAATCATCAATGTAAACAATATCAAAATCAAATGGAGGTTTGTTTTTGTGTTTTTTTTTTTTTATTATATTTTTATTTTCAAATTTTACTATTTTCATAGCAACTTCGTCGTCAACTTAATCAACTTGAACAAGATGCTAAAAATAAAAAACCAATAAAGTAAAAAAAAAAAAGGCAAATTCTTTTACATGATTATTTTATTCGTTTAGTAAAGTTACATTACAAACAACAACAACAACAACATCTTTGCGTATGTATTTCTTTGTGTGTGTGTTCTATGCTCTAAGGTTTTTGTGTTGCTTAATAAATTTCTTAGCCTATTATGATCGATTTAATACTACAAATGATTTCAATGCTCAATCTTATTCCATTCCTCCTGTAGCTTCTATATCTACTGCTATTGATGTTGATCCATTTCAAACAGTCGATCCATTTGCTTCTCAATCTGATATAGGTTCACCAACAACAATAACAAATCATGATTGGTTTCAATCATCAAATAATGGACAAATAAAAAATGATCCATTTATTTCTAAAACTGAAATATCTCCAAAACCAAAAAAAATTGCACCTAAAGTAAATATAAAACAAATATCAACAATTGATCCATGGGGTAGTTCAACAACAAATAATCCTGGAAATGATTGGACATCTACGAATAAAAATAATAATATAAATTCATCATTTGGTATAACAAATGAATGGTCACAATCATCTTCAACTATTTCTAATGGAAATTCTTCATCGAGTTAGAAGAAATATAAATCAAAAAAAAAAATTTTTGTTTTTCCCCATTATTTAGGTACTATTCAATATCGAGCATTATATGATTATATACCTCAACGTTCTGATGAATTAGCAATGTCAGTTGGAGATATAATAATAGTAAGTTAATCGATTTTAAAATAAGAAATAAAAAAAAAAGAAAATAAATATTTAGAAAATATCCAAAGAGGCAAGTTTTGCTTTTTTTTGTTCTAATTGAGCATGACAGTGAAATTTTCTTCCTGTATTTTTTTAAGCATGTTTTTTCTCTTCTTCTTTTCATACACATCTAGTTCTATTGACACAAATGATTGTGAAACACGATCAAAAAAGTAATATTGAAGTACAAGGGGGCAAAAATTTGAATATTCCCACAACTGTGACTAGAGCAATCTCACTATGATTCATAGCTACATCGTGTTTCACATTTTAATTCCATGGGGGAGATTATGCTAATAGCTGTTTTTATTTTAAAGATTGATCCAACACAAAAACAACAAGATGAAAATTGGTTATTTGGAAAAATTGGAAATGATAAATATGGATTTTTTCCAGCTGCTTATGTTGAACGTTTACCGTAAGTAATAAACAAATTTAAATTTGGATTCAAAAGAATTTTTTTTTTGTTATTATGAAGATCAACATCTGTATCTACTAATGGAAATACTGTCGATACAACTTCACAATTAATAGTATAATTAAAATAATTGATATTGAAATTTTATAATTTATTTATTTTTTAGTCTGGATCATGGGTGATAACATTAGCAGATTGTCAAGGCAAAACAGTTGATAAACATTTATCATTTCAAAAAGGTGAACTTATTCTTGTACGTGAACAAAAAGATGCTGCTTGGTATAGTGGACAACTTCGTGGAAAAGTAAAAAGAAAAAGAAAATATTTGTTAAGCAAAAGAAAGAATTTTATATTTAGGTTGGTTGGTTTCCAAGAAATTATGTTAGACCAGCAACTGAAATAGAAATACAAAATAATAAAAATACAACAAAGTTAGTAGATTTTTTTTTTATATTGGATAATATAAATGAATAGATTGTATAATTATCAATAGAGATTGAAGAATTAAAATTTAAATTCTATTTAACCAAGATAGAAAATATAGAGTTTGTATAAGATAGTATGCTTACGGTTTTATACAGATTAATACAAGATATTCTTATATTATTTAGTACTATTGAAGTTTTCTTTTCTATGGAAATGCACGAAAGATGATATCTGTAAGATGTTTACTAAAAATCAATAGCGAAAATAAAAAACTTCTCTGCAATGTCTTTTTTTCATATACTGAAAAGATAGCGAACTTGGGTGCTTGTTTCTTTTGAATACGGAGCGCTTTTCTAACATTCTATATATACGATTATATCAATGGACTAGGAAATATTAGTGTATTTGAAAAAAAATCAATTTGATAAACAACAGAAACATGAGCAAATTTTGATTTAAGCATATGCGAGTGATCTGTGAAATGAAAACTTATATTTTGTATGACGAACGTAGTATCTTCATAGATGTGCATGGTCTTTGTCCATAGAGATAATGAATGATTATATTGAGCGGCCATGTTTGAGTGACTACGTTGTTCATTACCTATCTAGAAGGTACTATTTTCAAATCTCGATACTACCAACGATGGAATGACCTTAGATAAGTGATTAATGGGTGTTTGTCTCGAATCACCCGTTCCATAGTATGCTGATTACATTCTGAGAAAACATCAAATAGAGAAAAAAATATCTAAAATGACGAAAATATATTTAATCTTTATTGTCCAACCAGCAAATATTTCGAATTACCTTTGAAAAGCTATTTTATTTATTGACCATTTCCAATTCCGATGCTCGCTCCAGAAGACAGCAATACTCAATGTCTACTGCAGTCATCCATTTATTCTATTGCATTCTTTCGATGTTTTTCATCAATTCGATGACATACATCTGCTCTTGTAGTTAGTTAGTGTGTATGGAAAACTCGGGTAATTGATCTTCTATCCAGAACTACAGCTAGTATTAATTCCAAGAAAGGTATCCAGCTAATGAAGACAGCGTAAGATAGCTAAACAGCCATAGTATTAAGTCATGTAATTGCTCAAGTTTTTGATTCACTAGTATAATTATGACATACAAGTAATGCCCATTGCAAAAAAGAAGGTGGATGAGTATTTTTAGAATAACTTTTGAATGAGTTGATCCAGACAGCTGCAGTTTTCATCATTGGAAAGAGAAGATGAAGACGTACCGAATCATATATGAAAAGATTTTTCTGGATACTTTCCTAAGAATTTTAGTCAAATGTTTTCAAAAAATTGCCCTTTTTTTCTCATGCGTTTAAAAAAAGCAATTTTTCATCAAAATACTACAAAAACTTTCATTTTTCGATTATTTTGTTGAAAAAATGGCTAGAATATCTTATTGATAGTAGTTAGGAATAGAGTCTTAACATAGTTTTCTAACTCTTCATTTGGCGATTCTAGCACACTCCTGAAAATCAATAAATTAATATGATAACTATGAGAGGCATGCTGTTTTCCTAGAAGCTTTATGTAAAACTCTTAGGAAAGTAGTCAGAAAAATTTCTTCGTATATGGTTCGATGCGTCTTCATCTCCTCTTACTAACGATGAAAACCGCAGCTTTCTAGATTAATGCGTTTAAAAGTTATTCAAAAAATATTCACTCGTCTTCGTTTTTTGAAATAGATATTAGTTGGATAGTGTAGACCTAATTATTTACAATGAATCGTCTATAAATGTTATTCTTTCGACATAATAACATTTGAGATCTCTCAATTGAAACTATCTGCACAGATAAAATTGATATTAGTCTATCGCTTGAATCTTTCTAACTACTATTTATTTTAAAATATACTGTGCTTCATTGGGTTTTTTTTTCTAAATAACTATTGAACAGATAATAGTTTTACTTTTTTGCAAAATTTTTCATATTTTCTTTAGGACTACACCAACAAATGAAAAACCATTAAATTCTCCGATGTCACCTACTAGTGCATCATCTACTGATAGTAGTTTTGGTAAGATTTGTTTTTATGTTTTTATTATGAGATTAAATTAATACTTTTCTGAATGAGTAAAATATAAAAAATAGAGAGAGAGAAAGAGAAGAAGAGAGACAGAGAAAATCAAATTCTAGTTACACTTTAGTTTGGCGTCAGGCACCAACTCTACCAACAATACGTAAGTGTAAAATCAATTCGTCAAATGCTATAATTTATTTCAATGAAATATATTTCGCCTCTTTTATCTTTATAATTTGGTGATGGGAATAAAAAAATTTCTATTGTCTCGTTTTTTTTTTCTACAGTAACAGAAGGAAAAAAACCACGTGGATAAAGTTAGCACCAGATTCGAGTTTTTGCCATCCGGATTCGTTCGTGTACTTGAGTTATATTCCGTTCAACTTGAGGTAGGTGCAAAATTTTACGACGAATCCGATGGTATAAAGATCAATGGAGGTCATCAAGAAAAAACTGACCGTAATTCAAGTTGAACGAAATATAACTCAAGTACCCGAACGAATCCGAACGGGAAAAAACTCGAATCTGGTGCTAACTTAATCCACATAAAAAAATCGATGATTTTTATTGCTTGTTGTCTGCTCATTGTTATGAATACAAATAAAAGCAAAATAACGCTCTCATATTTAAAATAATTCTAATTTTAATAGCTCCTAATATTTGCTTCTTTTTTTTTTTTTTTTGTTTCTTTGTTATGAAAAAAAAAGAAACAAATACTTAGCGAATAAATGGAAATAATTTGCATGTATTCTTTTGTTATCTATGATCATTTTCTTTTTTTTTTTTTTGCATTCGATAAAAAACAAATTTTTATTTAGCTGATATTTATGAAGCTATTTATCCATATGAAGCTACGGATCCAAGTGATTTATCATTTAATGCTGGTGAACGTATCATTGTATTAAAACGTGAAGGTGACTGGTGGACAGGAAAAGTTGGTGATCGTACAGGAACATTTCCAAATAATTATGTTCAAAAAGTTGAAACTGTAAATTTAGAGAGAGAAAAGAAAAATCAACTATTTCGTTCTATTGTGTTTCTTCTTTTTTTTTTTTTTTTTTAAAGCCATTATTAGAAACAGCTATTGCAATAGCACCTTTTCAAACGCAAGATGAAGGTCGTTTACCATTTGGTATAGGTCAATTGATTTATATAAGAAAAAAAGGTGATAAAGGATGGTATCAAGGAGAAATTCGAGTATGTCAAATAGATTTTTGTTTTCTTTCTTTCTTTTTTACAACAAAATTTTTTTTTTTCATATGAAGTCTACTGATCAACCAATACGTGTTGGTTGGTTTCCGGCGAATTGTGTACAAATACAAACACAGTCTGCACCTGCACCTCCACCTGCACCTGCATCTGTATCATCGACTCCTTTGTATTTAAATGCATCAGGTATCAAATGAAAAACAAAGATTGTTTACAGAAGACTCCAAATAGTTCTAACGAGAGAGCGTTCTTCAACTCATCAGTTACTTTTGAATCTTGGACTCTGCACATAAGGTAGACTCCAGTGAGATATAAAAAATTTCAAAAGGATAAGTTCCCATAGACCTGCCCGTGGGAAAAATCTTAAGTTGAAATACCATCATTCGATTTGTTGAGAGACTTAAATTCTAATAAAATGCCTGTAACTCTGAACGGGAGACCTAAGAGGATTTATTCTTATGAAGTTTTCTTATACGTAGAGATCGAATTCACAAGCGACTAATCAGTTGAAAACGTCCGTTAATATGAAAAGTCCTAGAAGGTATTAAGATGAACAGAAAAATCGAACAACAACATTTTAATCTGAAAGGCGACTATAAGTTTCAGATTCTTTACGAGGGTTGTTTTTCTGAATAAGTACCTTCAGTATCGACATATGTGAAAATGTTGGCTCTTTCATCTGACTATTAATTAAAAAGTAATTAGCGAATATCTCTCTAGATATAAGAGAAAGAATATCTGAAAACTTCAAAATAGATTCTACGACACGGATCGCATCTATAGTGAAACTTACACTCACACCCAACTCTAAAAAACCGATTTTCTAGGGATCTTATCAAGTCTTGAAACAAAATTTTTGAACTTCTCATTCGGTTATAAGAACACTTTTTCGTACTTCATCACGTCGCTGACGAAAAAATCTAGACATGCTTAGAATAAACTTTGGATAGAGATTTTGTAGTCTCAAGAATTGTCTAGTAGAATATCTTATTTAGTTTTGTCTTAATTCGGAGTTTTTTTTTCTAAACTAAAATACATAAGATCAAAGTCAATATCCTTTTTGTATTATCTCATTAACGCTGATTCATTTAGGATATCTAGAGTAATTTCACATACATATAAAAATTATCTCTAGGAAAGTTTATTAATTTGAGAAAGATATGTTTTAATTTTGCTTATTAATTATTTTTGATAAGTATATATAGACAAAACTAAATAATTATTTTATAGTTAATATGCAAAATTTTTCTATTTTAGAATCGCCACGATATATTGCTCTTTTTGCATATGATGCTCAACATGAAGATGAATTAAGTTTTCCAGCTGATGCAATTCTAGAAATATTAGATCAATCAGGTAATAATGGTTGGTTTAAAGCTCGATATAATAATCAAATTGGTTTGATTCCATCAACATATGTAAAACCAATTGACGAACATACTTCATGTAAGTTTAATATAAACGATTCTGCTTGAGTTACTAATAATTAGAAATAAACAAATAAACATAATTTTCATAGTCAAACTAACATATAGATATATAGATTAAGGGTGCGCGGAAAGCGATGTATGTGGATTTTATAACTTAGATAGACTAACAGAAAACAAAAATCACAGGGAAAATGATAAAAAAAAAACCAATTAAAAAAACAAAAGCTTTTTTTTTTTTTATTTTATTTTTCACTATATATATTTTTGTTTTTTTGGTTAATTCATTTTTGCCCGTATTCTAGGACAATGATAATCATCATTTCAAAACATGATCTCGCGAGTGTCCAAATCAGGAAATTAATGATGGTATCCAAATGCATATATATATATATAAGCGAGCACAGACGATTATTATTTATTTAAAATTCCCTATAAACCCTATTTTTTATATTTGATATCTTTCTAATCGTCATCATCTTTCATCGAGTATATATGCGAGCATTTTGTTTTTTACAAAAAAATCCACATACATTCGCATTATTCTACTTATTTTCTTCTGTGTTTGTTTTGTTTGAGTGATAATTATTGTTCTTATTTCATTCTTATCAATCTATGTGTATATGTTCGATTCTTTTCTGCGATAAAATATTTAGAAAAAAAAAAAAAATTAAAGTTTATAACTTACGTTCTACGCAATAAATATGTGTGTGTGTTTGTGCTTATTCTTTCTTGTTGTTCTTTTTTTTTTGTCCGATTTGGTTCTATCTTTATCTTTAATTTGTGAATCCTGGTGATATTGATGAATTAAACTTGTGTTGCTATCAATCTAATCATCAATCACTATTTTTTTCTAAAAACTACACATTAAGGTGATTTGACTATTTTTTATTCTTCTGTATAGCCGTATCTCTCTACCTTTCCTTTTTTTCTGTATCGCTATATCATATATGCAAAATAATATGAAATATAAGTATACATATATATATAAAATGACATGTAACTTGCTTGAAAATTGAAAAACCATTCTTTTGATTTTTATATTGTATGACTCGAAAGAAGGAAATGTTCGAAAAAAAAGTGTTTATTATTGCTTTCCAATACTAACATCAGCTACAGCACCAGCCAAATACAAATATCATGCACATTATAAACAAAAAAAAAATCGAACTTTTATTATATCTTATAGTAAGTTTAGAATTAGTGAACAAAGACAACAAAAAAAAAAGCACAAAACATTGACAAGAGCTAAACGACAATTACAATGATTATGATCATGATTGCATGAAGACAAAACAAAGTTATTCAACGACTAATAAATGCGCGTGTGTTTGTTTACTATTCTTAGTTCTTTTCTTTTTTTGTCCTGTTAAAAATCTGACGAAATTTTAGTGCATGTTGATAAGCATGGCTAATTTATTTTCTTGAAAATCATTCTTCCTTCATCCGCCCCTCCCTCCTCCCGCCCAAAAAAAACGAGATTTTAATATTTAATAAATTTTTTTCCAGCCTCATCAACAGAATCTCGTCTTCTTCCACAAATACCTGCGACAGTTAATTCATCTCAACATGTAGTTATTAATAATTCAACAATGAAAACCAGATCAAGTGATGGTGATACATCAATACAAAATTTATCAAATAATTCATTAAGAATATCTGCTATTCGAGAATTAATTGAAACTGAACAACGTTATGTTGATGATTTATTAATTGTTACTAATCAATTTATTGAACCTTTATATAATGCTCGAATATTAAATGATTATGAAATTGAACAATTATTTATTAATTGGTATAATTTAATTACACTTAATAATAATCATCTAAAAGCATTACATGAACAAGTAGATTATACAGAAGATATTAATTCAACAGAAAATGAAGTCATTACACGACCTCCTCGATCAGTATCGATGTCAAATATTGCATTAGCTGCTCAGGTTAATATATATATATAAGTCACTATTTCATTTAAATTGAATCTCTATACAATTAAAATGCGAGAGACAACAAAATTACGTATTGTAAATCTAAAAAGAAAACTTCCCGTAGGATTCAAACTGAACGAAAACCATCAATAGTCCGTTCGGTATAATATGCACACTACCGTTGGTAGTGACAGAAAAATCGCCGTCATATCGACAATTAAATGTGTAACATGAGTTTTGTAACTGTTAAATACATTGCGATTTGATAGTATAGTTATAGAGAAAGCGAAAATTGATCGCATGTTAGTAGATAAAAGCGTACTTCTTATTTCATTTCCCACGAATCTGGTAAACAGTAATTGAATATTGACGTTCGCATTCTCAATTTATCGAAATGTTACAGAAAAATGAAAACTATATTCATTGTCGAATAGCAAAAACTGTAGTAGATAGAAGTTTAAAAATAAGAAAAAAATTATAGAGGTTTATATGAGAAATTTATATCTAATCTTTCTTGTCCTTGAATAGATTACTAGCTATTTCTCCCTAATGCTAAGAAAATTTTTTTTATCGATTTTATTTTTCAGCATTGCGATTAATTGTCATAGACACGTGGTTATGAGTAGATCTCTATGAGTTCAAGAAAACTTTCCAAGTATTTAGACTTATGGATTAATATTAACGTAAATGATTGAAGATATTCATTCATATGTCAAGAAAAGTTTCGCAAAATCTTCTTCATTATATGATTGATGTATAAAAAAATTACATCAGATTGTGATTATTCAAATAGATCTAGTTGTATTCTAATCGATTTCAAAAAATTAAAAATTTTTGCAATTGATGCTATATAACACTTAAATATCTACTTCGATGTTTCGAAAAGATTAAGTTAATTCTGTATTCATTCGAATTTAATTGATTAGACTATAGCTTATGATCAAGAGTTGTTCGAATAGGTATTTTAAAATATATAGAACTTTAATTAAAACATGTATTCTGATTTATAATTCGAAATTTTATAAATAATATTATTGATATCTGATGATACAAAATAATTTCTTTTTTTTTTTGCTAATTTTTAGTTTTCTTCAAAAAGTACTATCGATATTCATCATCGTTCATTTACTCCTGATGTTTCTCATTCTCCATCTATTCGTCTTGTAAAAAATCGTAATGTAACTCATCATCGTTCACCATCAATTAATAATATAGTAGTTAAACCAAATACTGATTATATGAATGATAATATTATTCCTCCAACTCCTCTATTATCAACAGGATTAATGACAATAACAGAATCAACAAAAATAGGTGAAATACTTTGTTCTCATTTACCAAATATGGCAAATGATTATTTTCAATATTGTAATTCTCGTTCACAAGCAAATAAATCTTTACAAATAAAAATTGATTCTAATGAAAATTTTCGTTCATATTTAAAAATTTTTCAAGATAATACCGGTGGTTTATCATTAAATGGTTTTTTAACAAAACCAATACAACGTGTTACACGTTATCCATTATTAATTGAAAAAATTCTTAAACATACATTAATAAATCATCCAGATTATGAATCATTAAAACAAGCACTTGATTGTGCACGTCAATTAAATGAAAGAATTAATAAACAAATAAGTGAACAAGAAAGTAGTTTACGTTTAGATTGGTTACAACAACATTTAATATTTGGTAGTGATGAAAATTCTTCTGATGGATATTTATTAGATGAATTAGTCAAATTTAATTCTTTAAATAAATATAATATACAAAGAAAATTAATTTTACATGGTTTAGTAACGAAGGTTAGATATAGAAAAAAGAAAAAACATCAATTAATTTTTTTTTTTGAAAAACATATGGCATACAGAAAGTAGTGGCGGAGATGTTTGAGTTCTTTATAAAGAAGCTTTCTCTCTAGATATGATCTGATAATAAAAATAATAATCTACATTTCTCTAATATTTGATCATTCTTTAGCTAATATTATAATAATAAGTTTCGATGTAGCCTCATCTAATGCCTAGTCGTCTATACATATTAGAAAACGCTTTCATCCTCGGAGTGCTAGAAGTGATGACTGGAGGGACTAGTAATGAGACCTACAGTAACCCGACTCGTCCCTCTCTCAGAGCCTGCCACAATCCTATTCATCTCGCAATGATATCGTCTAGTCATTTTTATTCCACTTTTTGACAGAGAAAGGCACATAATGTTTCAAAAGTCGGTTTCTGTCCAAAGTTATCACGAAGCTGTACAACGATTAGTAGAAAGTTCCTCAATTGATTAATTGCTTTTGAATCGGGACTATATGCATTATATAAATCCAAATGAATTTGGAATATCCTGAAAAGAATTCGGACTTCTAGCTTATTGTTGCGAAGATACGATAAAATGATAGTTCTTAAATAAATTCTCCGTAGTCTCCTTCTAAAACACCAACAAACTGACTTTTATGAATTTTGACTCGAAACTTTGTATAGCAATACACATCGGTAGGTAAAACATGATCTAATATTACCGTCACATATCATAACAAACAGATTTCATTGAGATTTTATTATTATAATATTAGTTAAAGAATGATCAAATATCAGAGAAATGTGTAGCTGATTGGTTTTACTATCAAATTATATAGAGAGAAAATTTCTTTAAGGTTTTTTCATTTAGAAATTAAAATATCTTCGTCATTACTTTTAGTATGTTCTAAAATAATTTTTGTGTTTCAATTGTTTAGGTACCTAGTGGAAAAGAATTATTAGCATTTTTATTTAATGATTTTCTTCTATGTTCAACTATAAAATCATCATCATCATCAACTAATTGGCAAACACAAATATTTGAACAAAAATCAACTTTACAATTAAAACTTTATCGTTTGGTTTGATTAAATTCACTAGAATTTTTGTTTTTTATTTTGTTTTTGTTTTTCTTAGCCATTATTTTTGATTGATATTATCATTGCTAATGAATCACTTAATGATCAATTAACTTTTTCGATAACATCGAAAGTTCATGAAAAACCATTAGTATTAAAAGCACAACAAACTAATGTTCGGTATGTTTTGTAAATAAAAAATTATTTTATTAATGAATAATTTGTTTAGTACTCTATGGGTAAAATCAATTAATAATGCAGTTGAAGAATGTCAAGCAGCAGAAAAATCAATCCTAGCTGATAAAGCAATGTTTACAATTCCAGGTAAAGAAAAGATTAAAAAAAAAAAATTAAAGACATCAATACTCAAATTAATCATTCCTGCAAAGAGTTCGATGATAACTTATTTTTTTAGAGAATTAGTTACTCTATTACTCAGTGTAATCAAAAGGAATTTAATTTTGAGTTCTAAATGCTAAAAGGCTAGGTTTGGAGAATACTGTTTCCTCAAATCTTTGTTAGAAACAATTCAGATAGTGATTCGAATAGAGAAAATAGTTTCTTACAAGAGTATAAGGAAATATTAATGATTATCAGATTCCCAAATAGAGAGACTTCAGAAAACCAAAACTCTAGTTTTTCAATACCTAGAACGTTTAAATATAATTTTGTTTAGACTACATCGAACGATAGAGTAAATAATTGTCTATAAAATAAGACGTCTTCGAGTTCTCTGCTACATTTTTTCAGCTGAAATACGGCAGCTACGGAAGTCGTCTTTTTACTATTCCTTATAGAAAAGCAATTTTTTTGACATTCTATCAAATTGCTATATATCAACCAAAAAACAAAAATGTCGCGAAGAACTTACAGACATCTCATTTTGTAGACAATTGTGTATTCTATCGTTCTATGTAATCTAAACAAAATTATATTTACACATTCTAGTTGCTGAAAAATTAGTCTTTTAGATTTCTGGAATTCCTATCTTTAAGAATCTGATAGTCATTTTTTGTCTACTCGCATCACTATTTGAAGCCTTTCTTATGCTTACGGCAGTGGAAAAAAGTTTGAAAATAAACCTTGTTGAATAATGTTGATACTTACTATATATAAACTGATGGATTCGATATGAAATCGTGAAAAACAAAGAAAGAAATCCGTTGTTCAATTTATCTATCGTAAGATTAATAAATGTTTTTAACATCAAGTATATGTTATCTAAACTATCGAATATAATTGTGCATCACGTTATTGATGAAAACAAAAACCAAGATTCATCTTTAATATGAAGAGTTCGATTATAAGTCATGTCGTACATCTTTTATCTTTTTCCTTTGAGATTTTTAAATACATTATTTCGTTCTATAAAATCCCAGATTATTTATATCGCTTACAGATTTTTATTCATAACTTTTTTTTGTCTTTTGGAAGGCAATAAACATAATTCAAGAGCAGCTGTTGCACGTCTTCTGCTTGTTGTACAAGAAGCTCAAGATTTAATGCCATCAAATAAAACTCTTGAACGACATCGTTAGTATTATTTTTCTCAATATTAATATCAATATTTCCGAATTGTTTTTTTTTTTATTAAAGGTTCTGTTGATCCGTATTGTGAAATAACTGTCTGTTCCTTAACATTAAAAACACCATTTATAAAACGAACAATTAATCCAAAATGGAATGCACCTATGCAATTTCTCATATATAATCTTAAAGAAGATATGATTCATATCAATATATTTGATAATGAATATTTTTCACCTAACGGTTTATTTTCTAATTAATTCTGTAGATTAAAAAAAAAATTGTTTTTATTTTATGTATTTAGAAAGTCTTGGTTATATATCAGTACATCTTACTGATATTCTTCCATGTCCACTTGATACATTCTTAACTAAACCTTCACTTCCATTTACTCAAAAAGTTTATCTCAACAATGGATCATCAGTGATTATTAAATGTGTTGTTCAAATTTTAACAACATCAAACTAAAAAATTCGACGTTAATTGTACATTTTTATTAATATTATTTTTTTCGTTCTTATTTCTCTCAGTATTTGTGCAATTGAAATTCCCTTTTTTTTTTTTATATTCCTATATGTCTATGTGAATGCATGTTATTCAAACAGTGATTCTTCTTTGATTCCACTCGACAAACAGCAATCTCACCAACCTCAAATCTGAACTTATACTATTGCACAAATGCTTGCATTTCAACATTTTAGAGGCCGGTGATTTTTTTTATTAATTAGGAAAAACTATCAAATAAATCGTCAAATTGAAAATCGCCATAAACACATCTGCTTCGTCGGCAGTAGGTTTATATTCTTGATCTGTATACTTGTCCAATATTTCTTTTAAGTAATGCTTAGAATCCTTACGTATTTTTCTGTCATATTACGTATGTGCATATGATCTTGTTATTTTCTTCTATGCTCTCTTTTGTTTTGATTATTGAAATACAACGAGCTATATTTCTTTATCAGTTAAAACACTAAACATTTCGAAAATTTCTTCTATCTATGGTAAAAGAAGAAATTTTCTATACAACCTTTGCTCTTATTTTAATCAGTAGAATAATTTATTCGAATGAATATTCTTTTTAAATGAAAAAATGCTAACATAGATCTTCTCAGATGATCAGAAATTCATAATGGAATGGAGTTATTTTTCCTGATGAATTATGTGATGGGTTGCTCTGGTAGGCTAGTGTTGATAATACTAGTTCACACGTTTTCATCATTGAAACATGTTTTTAAACTGAATTGATCATTTACCTCTTGATAAATTGTAACAAACAACTTTTCTGAAGACTCTGCATATCACAACATCAGTTGTATGTCAACACTTTTCTCTTTTTTTTCTACCTTCACCGACACGACTTGTGTTGGGACAAGTCAGTTCTCGCACTTGACATACTCTCGAATCAAGTCACTTTTTACCAATCATCAAGAGGTAAATGATCAATTCTCATCAAACACTTGTTGTAATGACGAAAATGCACGGGCAAGTAGCAACACTAGTCTGCCAGAGTAACCCTTTCATAAAAAAATTAAAAGAAAGCAACATTGAGATCTATCGAAGTCGTTCCATCATTTTGTACGAGTTGAGATGAAAAAATAATATAGTGAAATGATTATATGGGTGACGATTACATAACACTACAGATAAAAATGTGTATCTGTAGAAATATACGCCATCTAATTAGTGTGAATTATGTAGTAGCTAGCTTCATTCTTTCAAAATATCAATTATCAATGAATCATGCTGAATAATGCTGTTAGTAAGAAAAGAGTAAACCATTTTCTTTTTGATGCAAACATGAAATGTGTATGGACAATATGAATAAAAGAAACTTGTCTTTGTCAGTTTAGTGATCGCTTGTTAATCTTTTCGGCTAAGATCAAAATATAATATCTGTTCTCGTCGGTTTGAAAGCCGATGCTAGTCTCTTCCAAGCAGAGCTTTGAACATCAGTATGGATAATATGAATTCATTCGAACCTATGTCACGGATCGTCTCAATACTGCAGTATCGTTGAGTTTGATCCACTCCTGCATCTTTCGAGAACCGAGAATTATATTATAACTGGAAAATAAAAAGAAAAAAGAATTTTGTATTACACGAAAGTTCGTCGTTATGATTACACATAAGGGAAGTTAGCAGCGGATTCGAGCATTTCCTGCTGATATTCGCTCCTAGATTTGGCATAAGTTTCTGGTTAGGTGGATTAGATGCAGAATAAAAGTCTGCATCAGTTGGTGATATTTTCAAGTGCCAGGGGGAAGATATTGGGAGCGGTCATCAGACAAAAATGAAAGATTCAGCTCGAAATACGAGACTTTTCCGTCATCTTCATGATATTTGGGTTGATTGTGTTGTTCTCATTGCTGAAATGTATTGAAAGAAACAGTCTGCAGTAGTTTTCTTTGGGGGATCGTGCTTTTATTCTATACTCAATTTATGTCTCAGCTAAGTGAAGTTCAGTTAACTCTCTTCAGGAACATATGTAAAAATGCAAACATGCTGGAGAGATAGTATGGGAAATCGCATGATTGATGGGTCTTCCGTTGCTTTCATCGTAATTCTATGATGATTGAATTTAGCCTTTTTTTATATTCTTGTTGTAGTAATCATTATATTTCATGATGCGTTTGATTGCCTTGCCATCAATGGCGCTGCCTAAATGATGAGTTTTGACGTTTCTACACCGAATATCACTGATATCAATCAATATATATCTCGTCAGAATGAATGTTCATGTTGTCTAAAATTGTCACGCTGCGATTCTATAGAAAAGCAAAGCTTAATTTATAAGAAAACACAAATAGCTATATCAAGAAATTATTATCTTTTATTGTTAATGTGAATAAGACAGCCTGTGATTCCTGATGCCGTAATTTTTTTCTTCCTGAAAAAAAAAAGATATACAGAAAACAGCAGAACTTTTTTTTATATTTAAACTATCATTTGTCGTACATGTCAGTGAACTCATATACAAAGCATACTTACACTGATATTGTACGATAATAGCAGAAAAATGACTTATCAAATTATTTTAATGTGATGCACCAAACAGTTCAAATATGTCACAAAGATTTTCAAAGAAATACACGAAGATTTATAAGAATAAGAATCATAGTTCACTTGCATATGTGAAAGACTTTTTTTGCTGCTATTTCTCTTGCATATTAAATATTATACTTGGTGTGCAACATGATACCTCAAACACACATCAAACTGTCAAATATTGAAAGATATGTATCCGAGGAATTTTTCAGTATTCATATCAACATTACACTATAATATTCTTTGTAAATTATTCCTCTCTTGGAGCAACCTCGTTCCTAGAAAATATCATCATTCGATGCAGAATCTGATAAATAGTGTCATAACTCAGATCAGTTTGCTGCTGTATTTCTTCAATTGTAATATGAGAATCATCATTAATAAGGCTACAGAATTGTTCAATATCTTCAGATGTTGTCTCGATTACACGTTTGCCAGATCGTACTTCGTCTTCGATCTCTTCACCATCTACACGAAATCATTTAGGCCATCTTTCAACTGTTCAAAGCGAAGCTTCATCCCCGAAAACAGAATATAGTTCATCATGGATAACTCTTGCTTGAATATTAAGTGTAATACACACTTTTTAATGTCGAAGCGAAAACTTTTCACTATTCATTGAAAACAAAGATGAACAGTGTTAAGGTTTAATCTAATTTTATTTCTTTAATTTTCTTAAGAACACATTTATAAATCAAACATACACAAAAAGAAACAAACAGGACACGTGTCTTAATATATATGTATATCCTTGTGTAGACGATTTGACATTCGTGAAGACGACGAAGAACAGAAAAAAGAGAAGAGAAGAGTAAAGGAATATACACGTCGAAGATACTTTGATTTAATGTTATCGTCACATGCTATAAGAAACATACCTTATCAAAATTTTATTATTATGATATTAGTTGAAGAATGGTTCAATACCATAGAAAAATAGAACATTGTTTCTATTATCACTGCATATAAAGAGAAAATTTCTTCAAGCTTTCTATATTGAAATAAAGTACCTCTGCCATCACTTTTACATAGGCCTAAGTAGTTATTTCAGCTTTCTTCAGGAGATTCATTGTCAATGAAGAGAATCCTTCCAGACAAATTGATTAGTTAAATGCATAGAATAATCAAAATATTTGCCGCACTATCTAAGAAATGTTGATTTCCGGATGAAATCGTTTTGATTAACGATAAATCTAAATTAAGGATGACATGTGAGTGACAGGACGACTAACTCGTTCTTATTTTATTGAAAGAATGAATGAAGGAAGGTATATTAAATTGAATAAACATAAAACTAACACCGCATAAAAAAGAAAAGAAAATATGATTAGCGTTTGTACGCATAGGTATGTGTGTGAGTGTCACATGTCTCTCAACATAGCTATAAAGAATCGTGACGAATAAACACGCCAAAATATATTTTCTTTTATCATAAAAACTATATCATCACGTCGAAGGCCACTGATGGATTCTCTTCTATATGTCTTTTCTATGTATGTATAAACAGCGTCACCTGGACGTTAAATAGAGAACGCATCATCGGTAAAGAAAAAGGTCTGATTTTTTATTTACAAAAAATATCATTTATTCGTCCTTAAGCATCATGAGTGCTTCTCCGGCCGTCGCATCAAAAATAGCTAGTCCTTGGAAGCCTTTACCATTAGTAGTAGCTGTGGGAGTTAGCAGTAGTCTAATAATAATTGGAATGTCATTGGGTTTAGGCTTGGGTATCGGATTACATAATAGCAACGAAAATTTAATAGACGCTATAACGACAAGCACAACTACAGTGACTACTGCAACCATCACTATTAGTACTTCGACAACATCCAGCACATCTACAACATCCACAACATCGACAACATCTACCACAACAACAGTAGGTTAGTTGTCTGATCATCACTATAATGTTCTGTGTATGAGACTCTATATCAAGTTCTATTTTAATCAGACTCATTCAAGGATACTTCACGATTTATCATATCAATCTGTGTCTATAAGATTGCAAACAAGAGTAACAAAACATAAAAGTTTTGCTATTCTTGTTTCATGATTTTTAGCAAAAGTCTCAATAGGATACAGCTAGTCATGAGTTACATGAAACTTTTACTGTCTTCTGGTCTATGTTACTTAGTTTGCCTCGCTATCACACAATCAATCAATTTCAATTTTCCACCTATGAAAATATTGATACTGAAAATACTTTGCGACTGAATGTATTCCTTCTATTTTGCTTAAATTGATTTCTTAATCAGAAAGAATCATGGTAACTGTGACCATACAGTTTGCTTTTGATCATAAGACAATAGGATCTTCTGTAATCTGATTCACCAGTTTTAACTTCAAGAAGATGATCTAATGCTCAATCTTTATCAGAATCGTATAGACAATACTGGTAGCTAAGAAAAAGTATTACAACGTAATCTCATAAATGCCAAGTAAATAGAAGTAGTCTATCAGATTAGAAGAACTGTAACTAAATTCTTTCGAGCTAGAACTGCTATAGTCTTGGAAATAATACATCGATTCGCTCGAACGAGACATAATTCATCAAAAGAAGAGGCAATAAAATATATAACGGAAGTGAACTATCAATTGATTAGCGAAGGATAACTAAGAGAGTGGCAAAGGAGTAAAAAAGTAGGTTATTAAAAGTTTTGAGATCTTATAATGGTTAATTATTCATATAGATTTTCGTCAGTCTCCAATAAGTTTCATGAAGAGTGATTTTAATGTTTGGAACTTCTGTTTTTCTCGTGATGATGAAAGTTAACAAATCGACGCATGGTCATAGTAGAGAGCATTGTGATAAAAAGCGATTGCTCTCAAATTTCTAGGTTGCTTCGCTTCTATCCTGTTGAGTTTAATCTTCTCGAAGTTTGCATCTGTTTACATATATTATGTTGTGATGATCTGGAGATTGATTGGAGACACATCTTATTCCTATTCCAACACGAATAAAAGCTTCTATGCCACGAAATATGAGCTGTAGCCTAGGAAAGAACTCGTATTGCTCGAAAGATCTTTTCAACGTAACGGATATCAATCGAAAATTCAGCAAACATACCACATTTCCCACACTGAGCAAAGCTCCTATGCCATCTAGTTCTGTTGCTAGACTTTCACATTGAAATTCTGTTTATTATTTTAGCTACTCGCTGTTTACTTCAATGGAATACAACAGGCGCGACTGTAGCAGGTGATGCTAGTGGTGCTGCTGGTACTACACTCAACCGGCTCAACAATCCTAATGATATTAGTTTGGATTCAAACAATACAATTTATATCGCTGATACTGGAAATAACCGAGTCTTGCAATGGGTGATAGGGGCTACCAGTGGTACAGTAGTAGCTGGCCAGGCAAATGGAGTATCAGGAACAGGTGCTAATCAGCTCAATGGCCCTCAGGGTGTTGTTGTCGACACAAGTAGTAACATCTATGTGGCAGATACCAATAATAATCGAGTTCAATCCTGGCCAACTCTAGCAGTTCAGGGCACTACCATTTCCGTCACAGGTAAGACAGTTTGAGATTCAAATGATAATCACGACGATTTCAGTCTAAAAGGTAGCAGCATTTTTCGCACGTAATTGTACATAACTTCAAAATCATGAATTTATCACGAAACACCGAGAAAGAGACGCGAAAACTTGAGAGTAATTACGATTAATAGCCGATTTCTATGTATTATTTTAGACCTGGATAGTATGCATCGAAACTAATTTTTAGGAGTTTTGAATTCCTTCGACATTTATCGAAACAAGCAGTGATATTCTATATAGTTTCGATCAAATGATGATCCTCTATTCTCTTATCGAAAAACATTTGTCTTGTTTTGTTCTCCTGCTAAAGAATACATAGTGTAATGTTCTTCAAGAGTTGCTTGAAATCGAACTAGGTAAAATAGATAATTGAAAATAATTTCAGTTAGATCGAAAAGAAGAACTAAGATCAGATGTTGACTTAGAGAAAGAATAATGAAACCATAACGTTACAAGTCTTGCGCCCATAGTTTCACATAACAATCAAAGTCGTCGAACTGTTTTCTTATCTTCAAGCTCCTACATTGCTCAGTAGTAGGTGCCAATATTACTAGAAGAGATCTTAAAATATTCGTGTCTACGGACAATGGAAGCTGAATCGTCAACAGTCTACTAGGTTTTCGATATCTTGAACGGAATTTATGAAAACACAGAATAAAATATTCTTGATCCCAAATTTGATTCTCACATTTAGACCAAATGACTGTTAGAGTATACGGTAACAGTTGTATTCAAAAATAAGTCTTCTTCTCTAGGTGCTAACCTTTTACAGTGTCGCTCAAAAGTATTCGTTACACTGGCACTCAAGCTTCCTAAGACCCTATTAGTCGAACCTTTGTAAGGATAGCTTTTTCCTAGTATACTCCGATTGATGACACAAACTGTAATTTGAATATTTTTGTATTTCATGAAATCTGAGATTTCATATCATCCACGTCGAAACTCTTGTCTTTCGTAGAAGTTACAAAACTTTTGACTGTTTTACCCATCAACATGTACATAGTCGATAGAGCTTTAAGCAAACAAAATTCAAATCAATTTCATAGAGTTCTAACACATTGGTAATCATTTTACTGATGGTTTCACTTTTTCAGAAATTATACATCATAACTCGGGATATCATAACTTCTCACGAGTGCAGTATTCTGCAACAAACATTTTACCAGATATTTTGCAAGTCTTATTCTACTTTGAGGATGAGAGTCTTCTTTTTACTATGTTCTGTAGAAATCTTCGGTTGTTACATAACATGCGATGATTAACTAACAGACATACACATGATAAGTTCTACTGTCACTCAGTTTTCATGTACATTGTTATTGTGTATTTTAAAAAATGTCTCATCTCTTAAACTATTACCATAGCTGTGCAAATTACTAGCTCAACGTGTAGTCATATTCGACGTACAAGAGTACAATAGGAAAAAGTTTTGAATTTCAACGATAATACGCGAGTCTCAATATTCTTGAGTCGAATAGTCGATTTTTCGACTCAAACTGTTTAATTACGTTTCAAACAGTTACTGAATCTAATAGATAACTATTGATTAATGAATGAATTTCCGGGTCTGCAAGCAGAAAATACAGAAACTGCTGTAGTTCGAAGATTATTAATCTTCTGAATAGAATTTTCTAAATGATCATTAAAAATTTCTCCATATCCAACAACGAAGTAGGAATGAAAAATAATTTTTCCAGCTACTCCTATAAGAATAAATTTGACTCAAATCTTTCAGACTCAAATCTAAATTTTACTTGTCAAGTTTTTTAAAAACTGTTTTCGACGGTTGCTGCCATCGGTGATATTATCTTTGCATTCTTGTATACTGAACACATGTTCATAGTTCTAAAACAGAAGTTCACTTTTGTTTTGAAACTAGAGATTTTTATATGCACAAAAGACTCTATTATTATGCGATAGATTGAGAAAATACATTGCTTCAACAAGTTTACATTAGATTAAATAACAAATAATAGTCGTTCTGATTTAGAAAGTCAAGTATACCTGAATATGTATATGCAAAGTCTTCGGTTACCACTTTCCTTGTGCAAAATTTCAACATTTTCAAAAGAAACTGCTTCTTAAAATTGCTTTCATACACCAGAAAATATATTCCAATCCTAGAGCAAGAATATCTGACTGTCCACAATGCTCGTTAAATCGAAAGGATATTTTCAAAAACAAGCAAAGAAAGCTTGACAATGACAAATTACTAAAATTTTAGTTTATTACGCAAGAAAAACATCAAGAAGCAATAATTGTTGAATACACTTCTAAGATTACCTATAACAGCCCAGTCTATGATCGATCTCTGCTCGGGTTTTGTCCAGTGTTCAAAAAAATCCTGGATATGCTAGTACTCTTTCGTGAATTGAAATCATGTTTTATGAATGAAATCATTCGAAAAGCTTCATCAAATACTGTTGTGTTTCGTTGAAACATGTGTGTGTGTTTTCAGGATTAAGCGGTCCGACTGGTATCACACGTGATAATAACACGGGCACACTTTACATCAGTGATACTGGAAATCACCGTGTAATGCAATACGTATTAGGTGCAGCGGCTGGTGTTTCGGTTGCTGGCGGTAATTTAGCTGGAAATGCCAACAATCAGTTGAACAGTCCGGCCGGTCTCTATTTCGATTCAACAACAAATAGTCTAGTGATCGCTAATAGTGGGTCTCACAATATTGTTCGTTGGGTTTTAGGAGCCACTGTACGAACAGTTCTTGCTGGTAGTAGTGCTGGAACAGCTGGTAGTACACCAGCACTTCTAAACACACCCTACGATGTAACGTTCGATTCCTCGGGAAATATGTATGTGGCCGATGGGTTAAACAATCGCATACAGTTCTTTTTGGCTGGTCAAACTGATGGTACTACCATTGCAGGAGTATCTGGACTATCCAACGCTGCTCCGGCCTCATTACGTGCGCCCTCTGCCATTAGACTCGACAGTCAAGGTAATGTGTACGTGGCCGACTCAACCAATAATCGCATACAACGGTTCGCGTGCTTCCAAGGTTAAGCATTGTTGATCTCAGTCAAACTTTGAACATGTTTCCTTTTTTCTTTTTATACTAATTCGTGCATATTTTAACAGTATTTTGCTTTTAGTTTTTGTATCTATTTTCATAGAAAACATAGCTGATTTGTATCGTAGTTTGTTTTTTGCACATTATTTCTATACTAATTTTTGTTTTTGTTTTTGTAATTAAATATATAGTTTGGGGTGTGGGTAAATTAATCAACAACAGATCGACTTAGCCTGTTAAAGAAAAGACAAGTTCAATTTGCTAATGTCAACTTATGCTTTTCAACAATGGATTAAGTTGAAAATTAAATAATAATAGAATAATAAATTCCTTTGCTTTGATTACCGATATCAAAGAAATGTAGAGTTCAATTCGCCAATGTTTTTCATGTTATTTAATTGAAATATAAATACTCATCAGGACTATGCTACAATTTCAAGCACGCCAATACAGAATAATGAAAGAATAGTTAAAGGATGCCTCACAAGTTTTGATCGCCTTCAGGTAATATTTCTTTGTCATATATTTTTTCGGTAGAATAGGCTAATATTCACAACATATATGCTAGACATCTAGATCTACTCTACGCTAGAATTTAAACTTTCTATCTCTTATAGTCAAAGAGATACAAGTAACTTAAGATTCATAGGAGATTTTTGAAATAATTAATGGGTGGGCCAGAATAAATGGCTGCATTTTATATTTTATTTTCTCATCATCTAATATGTCATATTAATAAACAAAATATACCATCAGATGCATCGTGAAAAGCTCTACAACTTACATGGAGAAGCTTATTTTAATTGTATACTTTTTCTTTTCAAAATAAGTAAAATTCAGTGTAATCAAGTTTTGACGCTGGGACAAGTAGTCGCAATTTTTTGAAAATAAAAAGTACACAATGAAGATAAGCTCTACTATATAGATTGTAGAGCTTTTCATGCTACATCTTATGGAACAGTCTGCTTTGTTTAGAAATACGTATTAGGCAATAAAAAGATGAAGTAAGCAAAAAGGAATTCGTTCGTAAAGAAAAAAAATGATCTTTTCGTAGCATCAATAATTGGTCGCACAGAACTTTGCTTATTTTGAAAAGAAAAAGTATACAATTAAAATAAACTTCCCCGTGTATGTTGTAGAGCTTTTCACGATACATCTGATGGTATATTTTGTTTTTTAATATAACATATTGGATGATGAGAAAATAAAATACAAAATGTAGCCATTTATTCTGGCCCACCCATTAATTATTTCAAAAACCTTCTATGAATTTTAAGTTACTTGTATCTCTATGACTATAAGAGATAGAAAACTGAAATCCTAGCGTAGAGTAGATCTAGATGTCTAGCATATATGTTGTGAATATTAGCCTATTCTATCGAAAAAACTATATAACAAAGGAGTATTACTTGAAAGAGATCACAATTTATGAGACACCCTTTATGGGCATTCGTTAATTAATATATTAAAATTAGAACGGTTTTGATTTGTTTGGTTATTTTTCGATGCCAGTCGTTTTAGAACGACATCTAATTTTAACTGGTATAAAAATAACAGATTTAGGTTGGATTATATTGATAAAAAAAAATACAAAATTTGAATTGGATCTTATTTTAATCAGTTATTTTTGTTGAATTAAGGATAAATATGTGTTTGATATTGAAATAAATCGTATTTAATACACGGATAATACTAATATTGACGCTATTCGTTAATTCAATTGTTGCACATATAATGTTTCATTCTAAGATGCACTAGTCTTCATATTTTTAGTGAAGTATAACTTAATTATTTTGTATAATATATGAATGTTGAAGTGTAATTCAAATGAAAAATAGACTGACTTGTTTATCAAAGATACAAACCTTTTGCTTTTTCGACAATCGACTTCTATCGAAATAATTTGCAAAATAAATGTTGTGCGAATAGGTGTAAAATAATTAAACAAACGTAGGGTTGATTCACTAACGCGTTTCGTGTTATTTATTAAGATATAAACACTCACTAAGATTCTGCATTACGATTTAAAGCACAAAATGGAAAAAAAAGATGAAAAACAGATTTCGAAAAAGAACAAAATTGAAGAAAAAATATAAAAGAAAGAGAACAAGGAGAATCGATCGATTTTAAATTTAATTACTATGAGTTTCGTATCAATTACTCGAGTTTGCGTTCAAAATATCTGTATTGTACGTGCCATTTTTAACAAAAATGCAAGCAACTATTCTTGTTTGCCTTTCTCGAATTCAAATAGGTATTAATTCTAAACATTTTATTTTTGAAACAGTTATATTTATTGAATTATCTTCATTGAATCAAAATATAGTAATCTTTAATTTTTAATTATTTTTCTTTAATAAATAACAAATATTGATCTTATATCAAAACTGACATTAAATCATACTCGTTCAACATACAGAAGAATAAAATTCTAATTGAATCAGTTAGTTGTCTGTTCTGTGTTTTTTCTGCATAGATAATATAGTTCAATAAATATTATCGCGTCAAGAAAGCATATATTAAAAAGAGAGATACACACAAATATATAACGATAGAAAAATTGATAAATAAGAGAGGGATACACAGATATTTCGAACTACTCAAGTATAAGACACAGATCCATATTTTTTTTTCAACAGTGTGATTTTCTTTTTGCTAGTTGTGCTACAATAAATTTTTTCGACTCAGAAAGATCTTTTAAAATGAAAAAGATAATCAATTTTACTTTTTTTCCTTTTGAGGAAGAGAACTGTCTTCGTATAATTAGAAGTCAAAAAAGTTTCTAGATGTTTCTAACACTGAAGGCATTTACGCCAGTTGCTATTGATCGAAGTTTACTTTATAGAAAGCAGAATTAATCGAAACTTCCTGTGCAATTGATACTATTTACTGAAATAAAAATTCTGTTTCTGTGTCGTTGCTTTTCAAAAACTAGATCGTTGTTAAATGTAATCTATGATATTTGTTTGAAAGTTTTTTGCCATCGAAGGCGGTCATGCTCATAACGATTATTCAAAAACGAAGTTCTTTAGATGTAACAAAAACCATAACAAATTGCCGAAACGTTATATCAAAGTTCTTATGTCGATTATAATTGTATTATCCTTACTTTTTCCTGAAGCGAAAAAATTTTGATTTCACTTTATATCTTGTTTGAGAAGAGCTTATTTAATCCAGTATTTTCTGGAAAGGAGTTAGTAAATCCTTACTTCATGTTTGTCTTCCGATCTTTTAACTGGTGAAAATAACAAAAATGTCCAATTATTGAGAGGAAAGAGATTACACCTCCGACACCGTCTCGGTTGGCTCACCACTGGTCATCGACATATAAAAAGCATACGACTCGGTTAACTGCCTCTCCCTTCTTTGGTGCATATGTAGACACTATGAATTGACAGATAAGATCATTCAAATGTTCAAATTGCTCTACGAGAATACCAAGGCCAAAGTTCGACTCAACGGCATACTCTCCAAAAGCTTCGATATCGTCACGAATATTTTTGCAAGATGGAGCCCCCTTCGCGCATCCTTTTCAACATACTATTCGACTTCATCATGTATCAAATCATCGAAGAAACAAGCGTTATGGATATAGCTGGCATCAAATTGGCTCATGACAGCAATGATTTCTTCCATACCAACAGCGACAAGTATAAAGACTTTCATCGTTTGATTCTTCTCAATGGTCTATGATTTGGTGGCGATGTGCGACAACTCTCTCGACCTGAACATCAAGAAAACATGCATTATGTCACTAAAATAGTTCAAAGAAGACGCAGCACGAAGAGTTATCAAAGAGTAAGAAGTTGATATGCTTGATATTAACATCAACATTCGAAATCAAAAGATTGAACTCGTCGACGAATTCTGCTACTTTGGTTGCTTCGTTACTCGAAATCAATCAACCGAGAAAGAAATCGAAACATAACTTTCCTAAACCTCGACAGTATTCAACATGCTTCGACATGTCATATGGTAACGGAAAACAGTCTCGATTCAGGCCAAACTTCGTATATTTCTTATCTGTATCCTTCTTGCTTTCCTATATGGCAGCGAAGTGTGACCGACAACCATTGTACAAGAGCGACGGCTCAATACTTTCTGTTTGAAATATCTATGAACAACCATTGGTGTCAGTCAGGGTGATCATATGCCAACGGATACACTGCTTGAACTCACTTGACAATCTCACCTTGACGAAATGCTCTGTAGAAATCGACTCAAATGATTTGGTCATGTCAATCGAATAAACAACGAAACGAACGAATTCTTCATCGTCAAAAGAGCCATCTTTTCTTATTATTTAGAGTTGAAAAGACCTAATTTCGCTGGAGTAAGAAATATATGGCAAGACAAGATCATCAATGATCTCAATAACCGCCAAATCCACCATTGGAGACAACAAACTCTTGATCGAAGTGGCTGGCGAGAAAAAAGCCAATCATAGTCTTCATTTGAAACTATTGGCAATCAACATTATCGACATCGTAAGAGAATTCAAAGACCATGTGATCAATTGACGAGCAACAGAATCGATTAATTACCTCCCACCAAGAAAAGTAACCGAAGTGCTTATTCGAACTCTTAAAAACGATCACATCTGTCCAAAATGTAAGAAGCAGTGCAAATCCTAAAGTATTACAAATCATGTGAAATCCTGTGCCATCAAAAGGTATAAGCAAAATGATATTCAAACATAATATTTTCACTTGTCAGAAAAGCTGAGTCTTAATCGTCTGGTGCTCAATGATGGTTGCAATCAAAATTAAGTCAGCAATACTTGGAGATTCTAGTCGAATAAGTGGTCCTACCTCTAGAGCTCTACGATAACTACGTAAGAAGTTTATTGAAAGAATCTATTATTTATTTGCTATGTTTAATCCTCCGACTTTATTGATCCTAAAGGGATATCTATCTTATAACACGTGTGTCCGTCAGAGTGATAAGTAAGATACTACCAGAAAAAAAAAACAGCACAGTGGAAGAAGAGAAGAAAGAAAAAAAGAAACGAAAAAAAAGAAAAGAGAAGTGATCGAAAGAACCTTAGTAAAGACTATTTATTTTTTTTTCTCTTTTATCTTTCACCCAATACCGAAAGCTAAGAATATACTTAATAATATTAATAACAAGATATTTATTTTTTTCTACCAATAAAATAGCTGCCATTATGGCTGTATTGCAAGTATGATTGATGATTTCTAGCATCATAGAGTATCTCGAAATGATCTGTAAACCATTTCCATACATAATACGTGATACGAATTGGATGCAATGGGTCAGCTTCATAGTATCCATTAGTATATAAAAAGTCCCACCATCGTTCACCAAAAATCAAGATACCCTTTGGTCGTAACGAATTGTAAATATTCTGTAAGATCATATAGGCATTTTGCACATGTTCGAGTACATTAATTATGAGGATGGTATCAAATTCATTAATGTACCAGTGCATATCTTCAGATGGCAATGAGACAATGGTAGTTGGAATGTAGTCAAAACCTATTAATGTACCATTTTTATATGTGCAGTGAGTCACCTGCTTCATATAGAGTTGTGCATTCGGATCCCATAGGGTCAAATTGTGTATATTTACGTCTTTTCCCCTAACGCGAAGAATTGACAATGTTTGAGTAAATGGACCGCAACCGACTTCTATCATATTACCCAATTCCTTCGGTAACATTTTGTAATTATCAAAACCTGCCCAATGATCGTCCCAACGATCGTCATGGTATTCATTACCTATCCAAAACTGAGCTTCTGTACGAGCAGCCTGTTTCCATCTTGCAACTGACACTTCACCGATGCCGTATAGTGGATGGATGAAACACCGATCGTCGTTATTTCCAACACAAGAATTAAATATTGACTGATTCCATGCAATTTCACAGTCAATTCCATCGTAGCCAATCCAACAAAAGCATTTACCAATCAAACAAGTGCCATGTTGATGGCAATTATGAAGATGACAGGTCAAATCTCGTGGTATTGGAGATTGAGTAATTTTCAGCTCATGTAAAACGATTGAATAGAAGAGTAAAATTGCTAGCAACCCACACAAGAATATATGTACGTAAATCTTGCACATATTGATTGTATATCGACAGGCAATTCTCATGTATGATCTAGAAATTAGATCAATAGTAAGATAATCAATATTTTCCGACAAAATGCGCTTTAAGGTATAATAAAACAGAATAGACATATTACATTTTTCAGTTCACTGAAAAACTTTGACCTCCCTGGCATTCTTTGTCAATGGAACTACATCGATTTTGAAGAACCAGAATTGATTCAAACCAGTTGGAACTGAAACAGAAACAGACTAGAACCAGACAAAACTAGAAGTGACATTTTCCTGTTAATTTTTTTTTAAATTTCAATTCCTCGTCAATTTAAATTTAAAATAAATTTAAATTTTTTAAAACTTAAATTGATCATCCTTAGGGAGAACTAGAACCAAAATGAAAATCGATGGAAATTACTTGCTAGCGAAGCATTTGTTTGTCTAGAACTAAGACAGTAATAAAAAATGTGAACCTTAACCTCTAAAAAAAAGAAGACTTCTGATGTATTCGATCGTTGAACGCTCGTGTTATTAATATCGATTTCTTGAACAAGCTATATATATATAACAGTATGATATGTAAGGAAAGTTAGCAGCCGATTCGAGTTTTTTACAAAGCAATTTGCCCCATTTGGTGAGCCACACCAGAGATGCAGTGAGTCAGATGCAGCTCGACGAGTCCTATCGAATGGTATATTCAGATTTTTTCTAAAAGCCTAGTAGCCGAAATAAAAAATAAAAACATTGATTTTTTTCCCATAGAAAAAACGTGAAAAAAAAACTGTTTTCTCAGACGATTCGCTCCATGAACTGAGCCACTTTTGAAAATTATCTCATTCGATGCAGCTTGACGAGCTCTATCGATTGGTATATGTTTCACTTTAATAAGATTAAAATTTTAGTCATTAGGACCTCTGGAAGATCTGTATTTCCTTCGATCTTACACAGTTTTACTATCACATAGATTTGACTAGGGAATTTCTATCAAAGGCAAATCGAGGCCGAGGAATTAACATCAGCAATTAGACTTTGAAAATTTTTAATTAGGTTTTTTCATTAAGGAAAAGGATTTTTCGAGAAAATAACAATATTTTATAAAGGTTGATGAAAGTAAGTCGGGGACGAGGAATTCGAATCTTAAGTCAGATTTCGAAAATTTTGAGTTGGAGAAAGAATTTTTCAAGCAAATAACGATATTTTATAAACGTGGACGGGAGGAAGTCGGGCCCGGAAATTGGAATCTGTAATTGGTTCTTTAAAATTTTGAGTTATTTTTTTTCACAAATTTCTTTTTTTATAAAAACATCTTTCTTCTTTTCAAAACATTCTTTTTCAAAGGAAAAATCTTTGTTTTTAAAAATCAATTTTTTTAGAAAACCATGTGAAAAAATCGAACTTGAAATTTCGAAAATCTAATTGCAGATTCGAATTTTCCGACTTCGATTCACTTTCGTCAACCTTTATAAGATATCGTTACTTTCTCGAAAAATCTGTCCTCGAACTCAAAAAATCCACTTCAAAGTTTTTATAATCTGACTTCAGACGCGAATTCTCCAGCCCCGATTTACTTTCTTCAACTCTTATAAAATATTGTTATTTTCTCGAAAAATCCTTTTCCCTAACGAAAAAATCCAATTAAAAATTTTCAAAGTTTAATTATAGATTTGAATTCCTCGGCCTCGATTTACCTTTGATAGAAATTCTCTAGTCAAATCTATATGCTAGTGAAATTGTGTAAGATTGAAGAAAAGATTTGGGCTGAGCCGAACCTTAAAATCGATTGGACCCCGGAAACAACCGAACCCCGGAAATTTCGGGTTCGGCGCATGCCTATTGTGGGTACGGATGAAATAACACCCATACTTACTCACACCTCTAAGAAGTACATATTACTTTGTTGTTCAATTAAGAAAATATATTCTTACCTTCTTTCCTAAAATCGGTTATCACGACGTTTGAAACATGGTATTGGTAAATCTTCCAAGACTATATAATTCTTCTACAATTATTTAATTCTTGCATAGTTATTTTAAGTTTCCATAGCTATTTAATTCTTCTATTTAAATTTACATAGGTATCTATATCTTAATAGCTATTCAAACTGTCGTAGCTTTTTTAATGTTTGTCATCTATTTAAATCTTAGCAGCTATTTGATTATGTATTCACTATTTATTTAAGATCAGATATTGGCAAATATCTTCATGAATAGCTGTTTAATACGAAGCGCTTTTTAATCATTTGCAGCACTAGTAAATAAATATTTATTGATATTAAAATTAAGGTCAGAAATTTCTTTAACGTTACTTAGTGTTTTCGAGCAAAGGATGGGAGGGAAATCATGAAGACATATCTTAATAGTATTATCTGCGTGGTGATTAGTCATTTATAAGCAGTACTATTCAGAGATATTCAGCATTGATTAATAAAATTTTTTAGCTACTCATTTAGGTAGTAGTTCTCTGTTTATGTTGAGTATTTTGAGTATTTTGAGAAGCAAATAGTCGGACTTGAATTAATCGTCAAGTGATAACATAAATAGATGATTGAATATTATAAAATCAGATTCGTTAGAAATAACATCACGATTAATCTAATATATTGATAATGACATGACATAATATTCAATCGATCAATATGCACTTCTTCACAACAAAAATAATAATTATTCTACTAATGAAACATCTAGCAAGTTATTATGTCTAAGTTTTTAAATATTGGAAATAATTTTTTTTGTAAATTGTTTTTCTGAAAATCATTCGTTATATCAAACTTGTTTTCACTATTTACGTAAACAAAAAAGAAAATGCAAAGAGATACGGAGACAAAAAAACACCACAACTACATATTTAAATCATCATTTAGCAGCTATGCATGTTATTTAAAAAGTGATTAGTGATCTTTGAATTGCAATGATTTTGTTTTAAAAGCATTAAATTTTAAATAGTTAGCTAAATAAGATAGCTACAATAATGTTGTAAAAGCGTCATATTTTAAATAGATATGCATCTTTAAATAGTTGTGAAGATTTATTTATAAAGTATCTCTTTTGAGAAATTATAACTTCAACTTCTACCTTTCGTTAGAAATAGTAGACAAATACTGTGTTGTTCACCTTCTAGTTTATTGAATAGGTCTTGACAATAGTAAGCGAAGAAAGGCGGAAACGTAGAATATTGTGTAAGATACATTTAAACATACGAAATGCAGTGATAGAAGAAGATCTATGTTAAGAATTCTACAATTGATGAGAAATGAGAAATTTGTGATATTTTGTTGATTTCCATCTCATTATTTTGATTATGACAAGATGCAGAACGTACATGCAAAAGGTAATGTGGTTCTATCATCTGACAAGATTGTAAATCATGTGATAATACAATTGGAATCAAAGACAGAAAAAGTCTTCACAGAAATATGTTTGAATTTTTTTGTTTTGATTCGAATAAAAGACTCAAGTTTTGTAATCCACCTTTCGAATTTTAGGCCAAGGCTATCCTTGATTATGGAGAAATCTTTAAATGCAAGAGAGCGGTTTATGTAGCTAACCTATTAAACATTGTTGTCTTTTCCTCTTCGGAAATCTCAATGATCTATCTAATTCTTCGACATATTGACCGACGATTAACGACATCGAAATCATCGGCAAACATATCACTAGAATGAGCTTTAGTAAATGGGATCAAATAACAAATATGAACTTCAACTAGTACTTTGTAGTCGACCAATGTAGATGTTAAATATTTCTGATTTACTTTCTCGGAAGACAATATGAACTCGACGATTGCTACGACAAGAAATGATAAATTTCGATAATTCAAATAACACTCCTAGTCTATATAGTTTAACAATTAGTTTTACATGCCACACACAATTGCACACCTTTTGGTTAAATAAATTGTCAAAAGAAAGATTTGACTATTCTGATTACAACGACGGACTTCCAACTTTCATTCGTTCAAGATTACAATATCGGGAAATTTCCAATTATCATGATATCTACGATCTTTTAGCTAAACTCTAAAATGGTTTGATTAACAGTCAACATAACTGATTGAAACTCGTCTTATCATGAAATTTAATACTTCAAAAAATCTTACTAATTTTTTATCTCTTGTTTCTTAATAAACTTTTTCATTTTATGTGTTTCTTTCCTCGATTGCTTTGTCTAGCATGATTATCTTCTTATGCTTCATTTCCATTCTAATTTCGTACAATTCTTTTAGACTATTTTCATGAAATTTAAGTTGATCTGAGTAGTAGAAATAAAATACAGTGCTGGATTTATTCTCTCTTCGACAATATTTCCGTACGATTTACTAATTTTAGAAATGTCAACGATTTCTGTTTGTACAGTCAGACAAGATGATATGATAATACTTAATCCACTACAGCATGTGTCTTTTCGATAGTTGACAAAACTTGGTGTTTGCTTGAATTATATGTCGCATTTCAATTTATATTGTCTTAGTATTTCATTTATACAACCTTCCTTCTACTTTTCATAATACTGATGTCTCACGTGTAAAGGTAGTCAATAGTTGATTTGAGTATTTTTTTTTTCGAATATTTGCTCCTTAGTCGTTGTATATTGCTGTACAATAGCTAAAAAAACAGATCTTCTGTTTTTATTGTAGCATATGCTATATCTTTTTTTGCGCAATTATTATGAAAATTGAAAGTAGACAGAAATAATGTTATATTTTTGGGAATAGAAAAAAAAAACGTCACTCATTACTTCGATCAGTGTGTAGGAGAAATAGGCGATGGTGGTTCTAATCTTGATGACAGAGCTGTACAGATATTACTAGGTGGATAATCAGAACAAACATTTCCCGATGAACCATCAAAATCGCCTGGAATACCATCAAAAGTTTCAATATTGAGATCGAATTTATGACCACGAAGATGACTGTTTATCAATCTCAATCTGCCACCCCATACACTTACACCAGCACGATAATTGTCATATACTCTACTTGTACGTAATTCGATCGGTTCCTTATTCTTCATTGCTACAAATCCATCGCCATAGGTATCATCTGGTTTAGGACGTGCATTTTTAATCAAACTATCACGGACAATAACAGCAGATGAATTGGAAATAAAAACATTGGCTATTCGATTATTGTCAAATGTACTTTCGACTATTGTCAATGGGCCATTAAGCGTATCAAAGATAATGAGACCACCATTTTCATTATTTCGACAGATAATATTCCAAAAAACGAAAGCACCACATATTTCACGTAGGATAAGTCCATTTCCACTGTCTAAAATGAAAATATCCTGAACGGTTGTGGTTGAATCTTCAATAAGACCTCGCAAATCAATAGAAAACCATTGTGCTCGATAAACAGCAACTCCAACAATGGAAATATGAGTAAATTCATTGATCATACCATTGCCAATATCTATGAATGTACAATTGAAAATTTCAATCTTGCCTGGAGGCTTTTCTTGATCATTACGAGAGCCACTAATACCAGTTGCATTTTTTCCCGTAAAAACTATACCTTTGACTTGACCACCACCATTATTTCGATATAAAATAGCAATATTATTTGGCAACGGTTGAAATTTAACCACTTGATACGAATTTTGAGCAATTATAGAAATGAATTTCTCTTCAATAATGAGTGATTCTGTATAAATACCGGGTTTAATCAATATTATTGTATGATCGACTGCAAAGTTAATTATCTGTTGTAATTTTAATTGATTGTCAGATGTTGGATAAACGATGATAGTATCGTCACTACTGACAATCGTATAAAATGAAATTAAACCGAATAGATATAGTAGAATCTGCATCTAAAATGCATGTGAGAATAAATATATGGTAGAAAATGATACAAACTATCGTCAATATTCAGTAAGAAGAACGCTCACATAAATCAGAGCAATGACACAGTTATATGTGAGCGACATACAATTTAAAGAAAACACTAATTTTATACATTTCCGATATTCCTCGTAAAACTCCTCTCTTGAGCACATGATATCGACAGAAACTAAAACAATAAAGAAAATGAAGAGTGTATTCAACGAAATTCCTTCTCATCATTTTGTTTATTGAAAATTGACTATATAATCATAGCAGAATGATTAGCAATGGTCAGTATCATGCTGAAGGGAAGAGTGAAGATATATGAAGAGAGAAGATGAAAGTAGAAGAAGAAGATTTGATACTTCTATTAGTTAAGATCGAAAGAGGTAGAACGATAACGTAGCGAGATTAAAGTAGTGAGAAATCGTGTTCATTTTATACTTTATCTTCTTGATGAACAACTTGATCAGAGAATAAACGATACTTGTTTGACGATCTAAATATGATAGTGGAGAAAGCGGTATCATTGTTTTGTAAAGTATTTGAGAAAAGATTACAGTAAATCTAAGAATCACGTTAGATTTCTCAAATAACAATGTTGATGATAACAATTATCACTTAACTGTTGATAAAGAATTTAAAGACATGTTGTCAATGAAGCAGAGAAAGTAGAAAAATGTGAAACAAAATACAACGACAAATGGAAAAGTAAACTCCCACAGAATGAAAGTTTCGTAGGGTTCTACTTTGTTTTGCAAGTCAAAAATTTGAACGTAGACTTCTATTTTTTTTGTATTGTAGCTATGCTTTCATTAGCTTACAAGTATAGAAGTATTCAACAATTGATAGAGTGAAATTTTCAAATCGTGTGATAAATTCCAGAATACTCATAATAGTTTCTGTTAGATTTTCTGTCTCGGTCCTATAATAATGAGTTCTTTACACTACATTTCACATCCATATGCTCATCTGTCTCCATTAAAGCCCAAAAACTGATCTATCAATTCTAAGCTAGCTGATCATATATTAATTAAAATGAAGTGTTTTAGATTTATCAGTTCAAAAAACTCAGGAGTCAACGTGTAATTTTTATATTTTTGGAATTTGTTTTGTGCATACATTGTGAATGAAAGAGTTCAAAAATTCGTGACTATTCGCAAGAGATTCTTGCTAAATATCAGAAACAATATTTTTTTACACTACTATACCTTGCTTCACTGAATCACATTGTCTTTCAATCTGTTCTATAGTTTTTTGACTAATGAATGAGTCTGTTGTTATTACTATCATTCATTCTTGATAAATGATTACTCATCACATAGGTATAGATATAGCGTTATTCAAGATGCATCATATCAATAAATAGGATATTTTTAGACCAATAAAATTGCATTTTAATGACTTCATATTTTGATCATTCATTATCATGACTCTATGTGATTGTTTATAATCTCCACGTGTGTTTAATTACTAGCTTAATAGAAAATGATGCAAAAACGAGCATAGGCCAATGATGTACAGACGTGAGTGAAAAATGCTCGCTGTGTTTTTATATTTATGTTTAACGTCATATTTGATATAGAGAATGTACGACAAAAATAAATAAGCGGAAATAATTTATCACTAATTCTCTCCAATAGAATTGATAAAACGATTGGAACTAGACGAATTTAGAAGAACAATGTCAATGAAATTCATATCACGCTAAGGAGAACATACAGACTCGACTTTTTCGTAGATTTTCAATTGAAGATCTTTATGGAATTTTGTTAGATTCATTCGATTTTATCGTGTCTTTTCAAATCTTTGTTTTGCTCTCATTTAATTTAGTTTCAAATCAATATTTTCATTCCTGCATTTAAATAGTCTGATTTTCCTTAAACAAAAAATGACATTTTTCGTGAGATAGAAGTTATACTAACTTAATGTGCTATCATTTTTCTTATCTTCAATATAGCATCTCTTTCGATTTTCATATAGGGATCTTTCGCAAATCAGTTTAAACAAAACTTTTTCGAGAAAGATCGCTATAATAGAAAAACTTACCTTCGGCAATATTTTCGAAGCTCATGTAGATCATTGATAAGAGCTAATTGTGTTTTTCTATTCGAACTTTTCGAATGCGCATCACAGTTTTCAGGTTCGTATCGATGTAGATAATATCTTTCGGTATGTTTCGAACTATTCGTTTTCGATTCAAACAATGTTCAATAATGTGTATTGTTTTTTTAATTTTTGTGATTATTCTCGAACATCTCATGCACCATTCTGTTCTTCCTGTGATTTAATCTGAACTTATTTCAGACAATTCTATTTGTATATGAATACAATCATTGAAATTGAATGAAATCATATAATCGACTGAAATAGTAGAAAATACGACGAAATCGTTGATTTTATTTACGGTCAAATATATTCGTATTCATATTGCACAGCACCTCATGATCTTTTCGACTGTCTAAATTACACAAAAATAATGAAAGACGTTAGTTTATTATTGTGAATAGCTATTTGCATTAATACAACGAGTAACATGTTAAAATATTCGCCACAAATAAAATGATACCGACTTGTTGAGGCAAAAAATCATTCGAAAGACATTGTTCAATGACTTGACAGAGTACATCGAGTTGTGTGAAAGCAGTTCGTTTTAATCAATAAGAAAATACTAGACTGAATAGGTTTATATTCTATTTTCCAAGAAGCTACAATTCTTTTATTCTGGCTCTAGACATAAAACTTCTAGATGGTGTCAATTTTAACAGCGCATACTTACATCAATTTAAGTTTCACAGTCCGATAATGGAGCTAGTGTTTGACTCCTGACGGTGAAGTTCAGCGCTAAGTATTTCTTCAACCTGATAGAATATATATTTTCTACTAAATTCTTCTACGAAGGAAATACTTTTCTATATGTCACATATTTCAATTAATTCAAGTATCGCCGTCTATTTCTATCAGTTGTTTCATTATCACAGGATCACTATACGCAAATTTGCTAACAACCATCACCAATGCGATATCTTCGAGTGTTGAATGAACAATTGTCCGAAATGTATTTCATTTTGACTGATCCATATGCATTAGATTGAACATGAACTATCAGTCAGAAATTCTTTCTGTAATGAATCCAAACATTTGTTCAAATAAATGAACAGACCAGCATTCTGCATTGCAGCAAAATTTAATTCAAAACGGGAACCATCACTATCTGTTGAATTCCGATCAGGTACAAGTGTTGTAATCACTCCACCGTTTTTTACAGCCTCTATATTCGCTGTCGGATCATAAAGCTTCATATTATTATGTGGCGACCAGACGAAACCAAGTAATCCATGACTTTAAGCATAGCAAACTCATGTCCATATGCTGCATTATACGACGATCCTTCACCTAAGTGAATGATGAGAGATCCGTTCGAAGTAAGTGCATTCTTTGCCGTAGATTTCTGTCATTTCCAAAGAAGGGACATTGTAGAGAATTTTGTCAAATATTGAATCATCGATGAGGTTGCGAGCCAAACAGCGATTATATGACTCGAGCAGACTGTCGACAAGACTTGTCACGCCCTGTGTGATTACTTTGACCTCGTCGTACTGTTGAACAATACATGCGAGGCCTACATTTATGACTAATCTCTATCGGCAATCCGTATAAACTCGAAGGAAAATCGAGATAACAGTCTAATATCTTTGTTTTCTCTTAGCTAGAACAAATGAAAGAAAAATCAGAGAGTAAATTCTATCAATTTTTCATACATTATGTGAAAGAAAGGCAAGAGAAAAAAATGTCTGCTTAGTATTGTCAATGGATATTTTTTTTGCTTCAAAAAAAAAAAAATATGTAGCTTTTCATCAAATTGTTAAGTGTCTATATTTTGATGACAAATAGAGTTTCAGCTATTCCAACTTTTAACTGACTCGGTTTCGAATACGATAAAAGAAATCCAGAAATATTAGACGTTTGTTACTTGAATCAACATTGTCTATTATCTACATTACATACTAGGCAAAATAGGACAACTAAGAATTTGACATAAGACGTAAAATTCTTTTCGTCGAATAATATACCACATTTTCTTAATGTAGAATGTTAAAGTAAAATCAATCATACATTTGTATACAGTACATTTTCAATCTGAGTTTCTTTGCATCAAACATAAAAGTCTCAGTTTTTTTTTTTGTTAATTCCAAAAGAACAAAAATTAGTGATTGTTTGTTTCCTTTCATTTAAAAGGAACATGAAAAAATTTGCTTTTAATATTGAAGCATAGTCTTCAAATTATTTATTTCTTTTCTTAGAAAGGAATATGATAAATGTAGCTTTATTCAACAAAAATCAAATACATTGAAAGTAATCGAAATACTGATATAATCAGTACTGATTCGATGCTCATTGATTACAGTAGATTTTAGTTGATTCTTTATAATAATAGTCGAAATGTTAAACGACAAAGACTTCTATTAAACTTCACAAATGACTCATTTAATGAACAAATTAGAATATTTATATCTTTAAGATTATAAATAAGCATAATGTATCATTTTTATTTGAAAAAAAAATTTAGTTTTAATTTAGCTGATGTTTCTTTTCATTAATGAAGTTGTTTTAAATACAATGTTTCCTTAAGATTAAGCGTAGGATCATCTTCAAAGTTCAAAATAAATGTTGCTATAAAAGAAGAAAGTTCGGCAAAATATTCTTAAGTGTATAGAAAGGAAAAAAAGATATAAACAAATACATAAAACTTCATTTGTTCGATTCGTTTTATACCTTCTATGAAATTATTCAACAGATTCAATATCTTTTGCATCTTATGTTAATTATGTATGTATATGAGTGAAGAGCATAACCATTTTAGCGTTTCAGAGAGAAAAACCAAGTGCACAGTTTGATAGAATCATGTCAATTCTTGATGACAAAACAGTTTTTCCGACACTTGTCCTTATCTCAATCGATATCGACGGTTGTCAAGTAAATGATTGCTTACTTTACAGGAAAATTTAACGATCGTCAATAGTTTGACTTTGTAATCTCGAAGAATAGAATAAACAGATAGACTATAATCGTTTTTTACCAAGTCTTCACCAAAAAAAGAGTTCATAGGAGTATCGCCTTACAATATTCGTAGGAATATCGATGTACAACTACTGTTACTAGGACTAAACATCAGTTCCTTTTGAGTAAAAGTTCTCTGTTGCTCAAGGTTCACTCTAAAATAGGAAAAATGCTCATTGCGAGGAATCTTCAGCAGAAACATCATCACAGTCACAGCTGTTGTCAGTTGAACCTAATTCAATTTCAGGTCCTGATTCAGCGTTTGATGAAATTTATCAGCAGCTTTGAGTTTTTCTTGCTGACATGCGTTTCTGGACATGTGATGGATTCAAATTTCGATTCTCTATCGAATGGTGATGGTTTTAAGGGTGTCAGCACGAAAAAGGTGAGATTTCGATCGAAACACTAGGTTTTTGACTGTATTCCGCAACTTTTCTCAAGACTGTACACACCACGACATCTGCTGGATCTCCAAACGTTCCTCTTTTCTTTCTACCTACATCGGCACGATCGAATTCTCGTGTACGATATACTACTCTTCACTCAAGTCGCTTATTACAACTTATCAAGTATGATCAAACACATGTTGCAATAATGAAAATATGCAAGCCATTAGCAACATCGGCCTGCCAGAGCAACACCATTCATATAACTAAAGAATGCCACATCACTGCTATCTATTTTAGTCCTTCTGTCACTTTATGTAAGCATAGATGAAAAAAAAATGTGTTAAATTGATTAGTCTAGTGGTAGTCATTTAACACTATTGATAAAAGTGTATATTTGCAGAAACATCCGACATAGATCTCCTAGGAATTATCTTTTAATTAGCTTTATTCTTTCGAAATATCTATTATGAATAACTCATGATGAGAAATATTGTTATTTAGCAAACATAAAAGAAGTCAATCACATTTTACATAATCAATCAGAAAATGAAACTTCAATGAGAGAAACTTGTGTTGGCCTGTCAATTTATCACTTCTTAGCATTTTTGGCTACGGTCAAAGTTTAGTATATATGTTCTCTTTGATTTTAAAAGTCGGACTAAACTCTTTCAAGCAGATTTTCGGACATCGACCGAGATAACCGGAGTTCACTTGGACCAGTATCGGCAAGTTCGGTTTATTCCAATTTCTTTCGGAAAATAGAAATTATCCATAAAAATAATTTTATATCACACGAAAGATCAATCTTTATATTATAGAATTATTTTCAATATTCCATATATTATATTTAAGCAGATTGTTTCTCTACATATTTTAATCATGCAAGTCGATTCAAGGATATTATGGCATAGATTGAACAAATCGGATACTTTTACGCATGTTAGGATTGCATAATAGAAAAGAGTTACGACAGATGTAGTAAAAAGCGGAAATGTAAACTTAGTAAAAATAAGTGCAATCAATTGTAAATAAAATTCTTTTAGCAAAGAAAAAAGTTTACATTATTTTCTTCTCATACTTTCATACTTACAATAGATTTTCTTTTTTTTGTCAAGATGCAAGCATCTCTTACTGTTCCCGGGTCAAATATGAATGAACTTTCTGATCATTTTTATAAACGATCATCATTTCATGAAGTGGTATATTAAAATAATTGAAAATCTTTATTTTTTTTGTTTTCTAATATTACAATAGGTTCTTCGTACACAAAAATTAATGCGTGTTATAAAAACAATGAATAGTATTAGTGAAATCAAAAAAGAAGATATTCGACAACCATGGGAAATCCCAATGGAAAAAGTACGTCACATATATACATATCAATATTGTTCTGTATGTAAAAAGCATACCACTAATCATAAATAAATTAAATTCACTTTAGTTCTGACAAGACGGAAATAATTAAATGAGATGTCATTATAAGGACTATCTATTTATGACCAAAAAAAAAAAAAAAAAGAAATCGAAATAATACGCTTGAAAAATTGCATATAAATAAGTATATTTTTCTTCTCTTGATATAGAAGTCATCAATTTTGTGGCGCTTTGAACCATTAAATAAGGTTCGTGGCTTTTTCCGATTTTCTTCTTCTTCAAAAAAAAAAGAGAGAGAGAGAGAGAGAGAGAGAGAGAGAAATGAGTTGCTTACCATATAAAACAAAGAAAAAATCTCATAAAATGAACAATTATTTCAAATGCGACGAGTATCACGACTTTCTTCATTTGCTTCAGCTGAAACTCGACTTCATTTTAGAATCGATCGAGAACGTATTTCCGTAATTGAATATTTAATTATTTATTCTTTTTTTTTTTTTTTTTTGTAAAATGATAAATTATATTTTAGACAACATCAAAAGAAAGTAGTGATACATCAAGTGCAACATCCGGATTAAGTTTACAAGGAAATAGAACAGGTATAACAGCTAGTTCACGTCGACTTGGTCAAAAATTTATTATTCTTCATTATTCACCATTTAAAGCTGTGTATGATTTTTTTTTTTTGAAAAATAATTCTCATATATTATTATTATTATTAGATGGGATTGGGTAATTTTTTTACTCGTTTTATATACTGGTATAATAACACCTTATACAATATCATTTCTATCGGATGATGATCAAAAACGAACAAATTTAAATGCATTACCATCAACAAGACAATTTAATCGTGAAAGAACAAGTATTCATGTATTAATTATTGTTGATGTACTTGTTGATATGATGTTTGTTTTTGATATTTTAATTAGTTTTCGGTAATCGAAAGAATTATTGACTTTTTTGTTTTTTTTTTTTTCTTTATAAATAATCAATTAATTTTTCATTATAGAACAACATTTGTTTTAAAAGAAACAAATGAAGTAATAACAAGTTCAATATTAATTGCTAAACATTTTGTTATTGATTCATGGAGACGTTTTGCTATTGATATACTTGGTGCTTTACCATGGGATATACTTTTCTATGGTAATGGAAGTCATTCGGTATGAAAAATAAAAGATTTAAGATTTTTTTGAAATTTCTTTTTTTCTATAAAGAGTATGCGTTTAGCAAATTGTTTTAAATTAGCACGACTTTTAAGACTTGTTGCATTCATTCGAAATTTTCAAAAAACTGAATATCGATCAGCTGCTTTATTTTTTCTTATGCTTCTTTTTGCTATTGCTGCACATTGGCTTGCTTGTATATTTCATTTTATTGCTATACTTGAAAGACCAAACTTACAAATTAAATATTCATGGCTTGATCATCTTGCTGAAAAATATAAAATGCCTTATCGTATGTTTTTTTCTTTTGTATTTAAATAAAAACAAAAACAAATTATTTATTTTGAATAAATTTTAGTTATAAATGATACATTAAGTGGACCAGATTTAAAATCAAAATATTTAACTGCACTTTTCTTTGCTATGACATCACTTACATCAGTTGGTTTTGGAAATGTTGCAGCGGTTAGAATACATTCTTTTGATTTTATGTTTTTTTTTTTTTTTTTATCGATTAAATTATCTTTAATTTTTAATAGAATACAAATGGTGAAAAACTTTTTTCTATTCTATCAATGTTAGCTGGATGTAAGAAGATTGATAGAAAAATATTTGCGTTATTTTTTTTTTTTATTGAATAGCATTTTTAAGTGCATCTATTCTTGGAAGTGTAACAACAATTATTATTAAATTATATCAAGGTGCTGAAGAATTAAAAGAAATGAAACAAAGTATTGATGATTTTATAAAACATCATCGTATATGTAAACAACTTGCTAAACGAATGCAAGATTCATTTGAACATGAATGGAAAAATACAAAAGGTATTGATATGAATAGTATACTTAAAACATTTCCAGAATGTATTCAAGCTGATATATGTTTACATCTTAATCGTGAATTATTAAATAATTGTTCAGTTTTTAAATATGCTAATGAAAGTAAATAGAAAAAATAAAACTTTTTTTTTTTTTTTGTTTTCGATAACAAAAATTTCTTTTGAAGCTACTCTTCGAACATTAGCTCTTCTTTTTAAATCAACTCATGTTCCTCCAGGTGATACACTTATTCATCAAGGTAATGTATATAATTATTTAAAAGCAGTGAAGTTTTGTATGTTTATCTATAGATTTTCTTAAGAAATATTTTGATTTATTTTAACTAAAACAGCATTTATAAACTTACGGATATGGTGAGAAAAGGATTCAGATATTTTTTTTTTCTGTATTTATCTAGTTACAAAAAAGAAGCAAAAAAAATCATCTTTCATTATAATGACATGTCAAAATGAATAATATATGACATATGTGTGTGTGTGTGTCAAGAAAAAGATTAAAATATTTTGTTATTACAATATGAGATGACCTGGAAATATAATGTTGCTAATCATATACACTTAGGGCATACCAAAAGTTGTGGCGATCCTATCTCAATTTCTTACGGATGGCTTGAGGAAATTTTCATTTTACTTATTTAGCTATAGATATATAGCGATAATATGAGTCGATATTGTCTTCGATGTGTATTCTTATCTTGATCTTCTCTTCTCTTTTCTTGTCTGTTTGAATGCTTAACCATGGTGATAGAACAAAAAAGAAATAGAGAAACAAGTTCAAGAAGTTTTTATTTCCTAAAATGTTCGAAATAATTACCTTGGTAGTTATTCACATACAATTGCATTCGTTGAATCCATTTATCAAATGTTTTTATACTCTTATTTATTCAAAGAATTCATAAAACCATCATCCTCAAAAATAAAGAGAAGATCAAGACATGAATACACATTGAAGACAATATGGACTAATATGTTATCGTTACATATCATAGCTAAATAAATCTAATAGAAATTTTATTATTATGATATTACATGAATAATGATAAAATAGTGTAGAAATGTAGAACTTTGTTTTTACTATCAGTCTATATATAAAAAGAAAATTTCCTCAAGTTTTCTATACGAAATTGAGATAGAATCGTCACCACTTTTGATGTGTCCTAAATAGTAACGGATATAAGTTTATTTTTGAGTTTTATTCTCAATGATAATAATTAGGAAGGATCTAGAAAAAACATTTGAATAGCTAAAAGGATTCTCTATCAAGATTGATAGACCTAAAAACTGCAATAAAATTTCTTGAATGAGGATGCTTGGAAAATCAATTTTCTGATAGCGATTTGAAGCTTTTTGAAAATGATTTTATTTGATTGAGCAATGAAAAATCTCAATACTTTGGAGACTTCTATAGATTGAATGCAGTTCGATGAAGAAAATTGAGATATCTATTGTCAAATAAAATCACTTTCAAAAAAGTTTCAAATGGAAGCCAGAGAACTGGTTTTTCAGACATCCTCGGTTTTATTGGAGTGTTTCAGTCACCAATCTTAATAGAGAACCTTTGGAACTATTCAAATGTTTTTTTTCAGATTCTTTCTATATACTTGAACACTTCTTTTAGATCGTGTTTCACAAAAACGTTCTCAGAAATGAGATAAAATTAACTTCTGCTAATTCTTCCCATTCATAGGCAATCCGTTGTATTTGAAATCAAGATTCACTGTCATTCCTAACAACTAGTCATGAGGGGACCAATCTATTTTTTTGTGCTCGAGACATTTTGCACAACTCGCAATAACCTTCTAATATCATCTCTCTTGAAGATTCATTGCTTTTTTACATTCAGTAATATTTCGTCTATTCTGCACATTTATGTTTTGGACAACTCTATTGTTTACGAAACAAAAAAAAGGATTAAGATTACTATCGAAATTGTAACAGCAAATATTAAAGTGATCATTACTCAATAATTTTCACATAAACTTTTAGATAGGAAGCTGCGAGTCCACGTTTTGGTGGACTCGGATCCAGGATCGGGTCCAAACTCGAGATTTTTTCCATCAATACCTAGGACTCTTCGTATACATGAACAAGTGAAGGATCAAAGTTTTAGCTATTTATTCGTTATTCTCAGAAAAAAACCTCAACAGATAGTTATATCGTATTGCTGTATTTCTTAGCTGGGGAACAGCGGGTTCACAAAAAGCGTGTAATCGGATCCAACAAAAAATAAAATTATGGACCCGAACCCGACAAAAAGATATAAAACTTTGGACCCGCAGTTCTCTACTTTTAGAACACGTTAGTCGTGAGAATATAACATTTGATGTAAGCCTTACACGAAGAACATAAAAGATATCGCTCTCAAACGTGTTGGTCCTTGTCCCTTTGGGACCACAGCCATCTTGCCAATATCTCTATTTATAATGCTTGTCGATTTAGTATTTTTTTAATATTTATATTATCATAGACAGCCAACTAGGTTTAAATTACTAAATTGTTTATTGTATGTTTAGGTGATGTTCTCTATTCAATTTATTTTATTCGTGGTGGTCAAATGGAAATCTTACAAAATAATGAATTACAAGCTATACTTGGTCGTAATGATATTCTTGGTGAAAATCCATGTAATACAATAACACCAGGAAAATCAAGATGTGTTGCTAGAGGTATGACTTTTTTTTTTTTCAACAAAATTATCTTATTTGAAAAATTTTTGTTTTGAAATAAAGGTTTAACTTATTGTACATTAAATAAAATTCATCGTGATGATTTACTTCATGTTTTAAAACTTTATCCTGATTTTGCTAAATCATTTATAGAACGATTTTATGTAACATTTGATCTTCGACAAGTAAAAAATAAAACTTTTCTAGTCGAATAATTAAAATTTATTTTTTTGGTTTTGCTTTTTCTTTTAGTGTGAATTAAATGAATCAAAACCATTTTATAAATTAGATAATGATATTCAAATACTTATTAAAGAACGTAATCCAAAATTACAAACCAAAGAACAATTAAGTATATTTTGTTCACGAGATGATGGTAAATTTATAAAAGACAAAAAAATCATAAAATGAGATTTTATTTCTAGAAGCAAATCATTTGTCTAATTCACGATCTCATCGTGGTATTCATATGAGTACTGATTCTGGTACAGGACGACAAATGACAACTATTGTTGAATTATCACCTGAACAAATACAAACATCACTGGATGATCTTTATTTTGAACATGACGAAACATTAACATCTTTGATACCTTTAGCTCAAGGTTGTTAATATACATATATGAAATTTAAATATAATTTTTCAATGAATGTTTTTTTTTTTAGCAACATTAACAAGTGCCTTTTCAACAATTGTTGCAATATCAACAAATACTAAACCAACTACAGTTGATTCTCAAAAAATAAAAGAATCAAAGAATTCTTTACCAATAAAAGAATCAAAGAATTCATTACCAATAAAAGAAACAAATTTACCATCAACAAAAATTAGGTAAAAGCAAAAAAAAAACTTCTTGGAAATATGATATGAACAAAATTTTATTTTATCTCAATAGTCCATTAGAGAAATATGAAAATAATCCAGTACGAAGTATGGCAGATGTCGATGCTGAATTAGAACTTTTACAAATGTAAAAATATCAACACTTGATTTTATACATATATAATTTTTCATTGCTTTTTCTTTTTCTTTCTATAGACGTTTGGATACTTTAGAACATATTGTAGATGATAGAATGAAAATGTTAATTCATGTTGCCAATAATATTGTATTAACAAATACTCATCAATCAAACAGTGATTCTAATCAATCAAATGAAATAACCGATGATAAGAAATGTTTTGTAATCGACAAATTACTTTTTACCAAAGATAAATAAAAAACAACTGTTTCTATAATCTAACAAACTTATAAATCATTATTTTAGAAAAATGTTCCTCTGGCAAGCCAGTGTTCATCATTGCAACATATTTGTGATTAGGGTTGATCATTTGGTAATAAACAATTGTTGAATCATTCGTCAGAACATGACATCTGTTTTATCTTTACACACATACCAATGTTAACGATGAAGAACATAAAAACACAACGAGAAAGGAGTCCCGTGCCACAAGTTACTTATTACAAAATGATCAATCATGATCACAAACATATTACGATGATGAATACTGGCTTGCCAGTGCAACATTTGATATCAAATGGAAAAGAAAAACTAAGAAATTTATGAGCAGTTGAAGTTATATATTTGTATTAAACGTTTTTGTATAATCAGAAATGGTGATTGTGAATCATTCTAAGATCATAACTTTAACAATTAGTACTATGTTGAATGTATTTAAAACAGTTATTCTTCTTTTAGTAAAATTAGTATGAAACTTTAACATAAATCGAAATCCGATCTTGATCATCAACGAATGTAATCATTACAATAATTGAATCAGTTATTGCCTCATATATTGTATTACCAATCCAATGGGAATATATTTTTTTCTTTTTTTTTTTTTTTTTTTTTTTGTGGTTGAGTATTCAATAACAAGGTCTTGGAAGATTATATTGCAATCAAGGTTTTTCTTTACTATTTGATCTATAACTATTGGAGATAAAAATATATATTTCAATATCAAAATGAAAAAATTTCTTTTTATGTAAAGATTTAAGTAAATCTGCAATACGTTCACGATTCTATTCTTTTATTATTCAAAAATGACATTAACATAAAATAGTTCATTCAATTTCGGATAAACTTCAATAATATTAAGCCGATTAATAACCGTATTTTTATCATCATTCGATCGAGAAACAAATCATTTTCGAACTTTTTTTTTCTCAATTAAAATACATGATTCACTATTTCTATGATGTGAAACTAGAGTACGTTAAACATCGGCATGATCACACTGTTTTCTTAGCTCTCTCATTTTCATAAGTGTCTAATAACAATAACATTTTGTAATTTTATTTTTCATTTATATTTTGTAAATATTTGTTTTCTAACATTGATTAATTCAACTTAAGTACCTAATGGTAGAAATAACAATTTTATTCATTCAACCATATACATAATTTCAGGCCCAATGATCAGACTATGTCAAATATAAATGGAATACTAATATTTTTACTTCATCATTGCATATAATTATTGTAATGATCATCAATATATATATATATATGTATATAGAAATAAATATTGAGCAAAAAATTTAGATTCGATAAATTAAACTTTTCTTATATATTTATAGTAAATGTTCATAAGCAATTATTTTTATCCACGTATATGATATGTATGTTGTCATTTCTTTTGACACATTTCTTCTTTTGTTTCATTTCAATGAATATAATGTGTAAAAATATAACAGATGTCTTGATCTGCATATTGTCAAAAATAATTGCTTATTAAAACTTATCAAAAAGTAAGTGATCAGTAATCATCAAATATACATATATATATATATATATTTTGATGACAAAACATGAAAGTTTGTAATAACACATTTCTTTTGTTTTTTTGAATTAATGAAAAGAAAAATATTATCATGTTCAGAAGTATTTGATTTGATATATAGAAATATATCTTGATTTCGATTGCAAAGAAATAATATTATATTTTATTATTTATCATATGAAATGTGCACGCACAATATAAATTTTTATTCTTTGCATGATTGCATTTTTCTTGCTTAATATTGTATACACGCCTAGACAAAGAGATGAATTTTATGTTAATATAGAAGAACTCGTCGGATCCAGGACCAAATCGATGGACTCTACTATAGATACGAATAAACAATGATATTTTCAATGGCAAACTATACAATAGTTTAAAATATCTCTTGTAAACAAAACAAAACAAAAAAAAGAGTTATGTAATAATTTAAGTTCGATATTTCTATATTAGTTAACAAGATTATATAGGCAATAAATCTATACAATGAAATTATTTTAAATTTCTATTCAAAAATTGAATAGTTTTGAAAATTAGATTAGTTTTTTCTATTGATATTCAAACAAACCGTATCGAAGAAAAAAAAAAACAAAAGGATAAGAATGTATAAATAATCAATTCCCAATAGATATCACATCGACTAAAAATAGATATATATATAAATATAAATGAAATTTTTTACAAAATATTTTTTTTCCTTTTATAGAATTTTCGATTATTTTATCAAAGTTTTATTGATGATATTATTAAAAACAAAACAATACCATAAATCAATACGCAAAAAAATCAACATTGTAAAAAGAATCATAAAATAAAAAATGTTATTAGAGATAAATTGGCTATATTTAGTTTAGTAACAAATGTTATATAATTTGAATACAAGTTAATTTTCATGTTTTTCATTTATTAAAATAAAAAATTTACTCTTTTTTTTCATTTTAAAAAACACAACCAGAAGCGTATAGATATATATATGGTAACAAAATCATAATCACTTTCTGTTATTAGTTTGTAACAATATTCATTATTATTTTATTGAAATACTTTAGTATTAAACAACTTGCAATACTCATTCAACATTTCAAAACAAAAAAATGTTAAAAGCATTCGCTTAGTTTTACTTCGGCTTCAATAGCATATTGAAATAAAACAATTCATATACGATATTCAATAGACTTAAAAGCAAATCTATATATATATATGTGATTGAAAGTATGCATGTTTGATACAGTAATTTGACCGCATGGTGTGTTCGAAAAAAAGACGAGTGATTATCGATGTTTGCTCGTTTCATTCATTTGATATCTACATATAATATGCACAGTTGGCGTCAATATTAAATCGACACATGCTGTTCATCTTTCTTTTCAAATTATAGACATTGATCAGATGATGTTTTTTTTTTTTTCTTTTTTCTACAATGATTTAAATCAGAAGTAATAGCGAACTTAAGATACTTGTATAAGAAAAAAAAAACCCATCCTAATCTATCAATATGTTTATAGAAATGAGAAGATCTTTTTTTTCTTCTTCTTACTATTTAATAATATATTTTGTCAATGAACAAAGAATTTACTATGTATCCTAGTCTTATGACCAATGGCTATTTCTTTGTTCTTTTGCCTTTGAGTTTCGAATACAGAAGAGCACTTCGGTCATTTTTTTTTCCGCTTATATATATATATAAGGTTATTATACTTTCAACGAACAAATTCTTTTTCTTTCTTCGCATATGAATACATACACGTCATAACAACGACAAGGTATGTATGTGTTACTTTCAGATGAACAAACGAACAGAAGAAGAAGAAGAGGAAAAAAAAGGAAAGAACTGACCGGAAATTGAATGCATGTACATAAACAGGTACCTTTATATGAACGATCATATTTATATTGCATAAATTGTGTTTTTTTTACTATTCTTTCTATTGACAAATGTCTTTTCTATCATCAGTTGACATCGGTAACTACATTCTTTCCTTGATTTTAACATTCATATAAACATATAGTATGTGAAACATATGGTATCCTTCATGTAATCGTTTAACAAACATTTCGATAACTACAAAATACAAGATATTGTATAGTCTAGAAGATTTTATATACAAGAAAAAAAAATTTTTCAATTTAAAATGAATATAAAATTTGATGTCGAGAGTTACATGACCGGACGTGGTTACCTATCATTAAACTAATGATGAATACTTGATGAGTGGCTTCAATGAGAATAATAGAAACAAAAGAAGAGTATCATCTGTATAGCGCTCTCATTCTTCTTTTTTTTTTTGTTTTGTTTTTTAGTTAGCATGCAATCTATCTCTCTGTTTCTTTTTTATTCTCATCTATATATATATTTATCATGATGTTATTCAATAAAAGTATAGATAGTGACAAAAAAGTAAATGAAGAACTTCGACAATATTTATCATCTAGATTTCGATCGTTTTTATTTTATTGTACTTCTCTTTTTTTTTTTTTTCTTCTTTTTTTGTATTCTTATCATGCGACGGATCTCTATTGAGTTATTCTCGATCGTCTAATCTTTAGACAGATTGACATTGTATGATGGTAAAAAAATTCGCTTACATATTATATATATATAGATTTTTCTTTCTGTCGTCATTCTCTCCTGTTTTTTGTTCCCGACAGCGTGCGTTAGTGTTTCTTCCCGAGTCTTCATCTCCACCAGCCATTTTCCCTCTTCAATGCTGGAAAATGAAAATCGCTTCTTTCCCCTCCCTTTGCTACCATCTCTCTTTCTTCTTTCTCGTTCTCATTCGCTTTTGTGTTTAACTCTAATCATATGTGTGTATAGTAGACACACACACACACACCCATACACAGTCGTATGAACACACATTTGAATGACGACAACAGTATATCATGTCGTATTATTTTCAATAAACATTTTCACATGTTATAGATTATAGATGTTGTCTATATTATCTTTATCATAATGATAAGAAAACAACTACGATCTGGTTGATTGATTGATTGATTTGAGTGTTCCAGATTTATTTTTGACAATGTGGAAAAAAATAAAAGAAATTATTTGTAAGCATACTGGTAAGTTTTTTTTAAACTTTTTTTATTATTATTTCAATAATAGATACAAACAATGCATATCTATGCATCTGGCATTGCTACATCATATTAATTACATGTGTTTTCTATGTGAAGATCACATACGATTGAATACTGGCGACGGATAGACGTCTGAAATAATATCAGATAGATACGATAAATGAGACAAGCATGAGAAAAAAAAGATAAGCAGTACGTTTGCTCTATATTCTTCTATTGAATAGTTTGTTTAGAGAAGAAAAGATGAGATGTATACACACGGGCATTGATTTTTCAATATATATAAAAGCATGGTCAATATTAGCTTCAGGAAATGTTCATATTTATATCGAGAGGAAATTTATTTGACTAGC